GGGGGGGGGGCTGTCTTGTACATTTGTAAGAACACGGGTTTAATACTTGTCTTTTGGAAATAACACAATTATGTAAATGCTAAATATGTATCGTTTCCTATTTTTAGGATAAGAGATGATCTTGATTAAATTTTCAAAGTTGGCGAAGCTACAGATTATAGCTGTCAATTTCACTGCCAAATATATGCTGTTCACATTACATGTAGTTATAAAGCATATTGTTTAAAATAGATATTCTACTGTTATAAAATGAACATTACATACACACTTGCAATTGTTATATTACTACAAAACTGATTTCAAGCTTATTGAAGTTTTGGGCATGTAGCCTCTTGTCCTGAAATGGCCAGGTAGAGTTACATACAGGGTCAATGCTATTAACTTAGAAACCGGGAAAACCGGTACAACGACGAGTTGTGTTTATACTACTACATGACTTTTGAACTTATAAGATGAATATTTGCGGTAGGTGTAAAGAGTATACTCCTATAAGTACTTTTGTAGACGATGCTGCAATAGATAGATGAAAACTGAGAGAGAGAAAAAAAAAGAAAACGTACATTTCATAATGCAACTTTTTTTATTTGCACGCTCATAAAATATGTATGGTTCCTATTCCCAGAGGACGACATCCATATACTAGTAATCAAATCGACATAACATTATGTTTAATATCACATATTATATGAATTTCTTTAGGGGTATTTTAACAGTGGTTTAAAGAGATGGGAGCAAGTTGTAGCAGTGACAGTTCCGCGGTAGACGCCGTCATCACGGTCCGTACCGGCGACGTCAAGGGCGGAGGCACGGACGGGAACGTCTACATCGCCCTGCACGACGTCAAGGGCAACCGGACCCGCGACGTGCTGCTCGACTGCCGCTGGAAGAACGACTTCGAGGCGGGAAGTCTGGACACGTTTAAGATCACCCACGCCAGACTGCCGCACGATCTGAAGGAGATTGAGATCTGGAGGGACAACTCAATGAAGGCTGATGACTGGTTTGTTGAGGTCATCACCGTGGATATCGTGGGAGAACCGACCAAGTTTGTGTTCCCGGTGCAGAGGTGAGTCTGTTTAGCCTTGATCACGAATATTCATCCATCATTTTATCCGTCCATCCATTTATCCATCATTCCATCCATCCATCCATCCATCCATCCATCTATCCTTCCATCCATCCATCTATCCTTCCATCCATCCATCCATCCATCCATCCATCCATCCATCCATCCATCCATCCATCCATCCATCCATCCATCCATCCATCCATCCATCCTTTCATCCTTCCATCCATCTCCTTTCCTTCTCTATCCTTCCTTCGTTCCATCTATCCATCCATTCACCTATTCATTCGTCCATCAATCCATTCTACCTTTCTTCCATCCATCTATCCATCCATCCGGTCGATACATCCATCCATCTACCATCCATCCATTTAATATCCATCAATCCGCTCATCCTTCCTTCTTTCCATCAACCCATCCATCCTTCTATCTATCCATCCATCCATCCTTCCTTCCTTCCACCATCCATCCATCCACTCATCTATCCTTCCATCCATCCATCATAAATTCGTTCGTTCATGCCTTCCCTCCATCCTAAGCTTAAGGATCATATAAATGCACGTTTCACGTTGTAGTTACGACTGAATACTTAACTCCATGCTGTAACATGTGAACAGGTGGGTGAACGCAGGCGAGCGGCTGTTCCTGACACAGTACGACAGCTGTCTGCCCCAGTTTGAACAGCACCCCGACCAGCGCACCAGGCTGCTGAACGCCAAGAGACAGCTGTACCAGTACCAGCAGAACGTGGAGGGGCTGCCTGTACAGGTAAGGTATATCCTTGGTTTTCAACTTGAAACTTCCGTTTTTATCTTTTCTGTAGGGATTTTTAACCAGTTTACCCATTGCATGACCACAAGGTTCACTTCTGGGCCCTGTACTAACTCTAAAAAAGCTGCATCTCTTCTCCCTAAGTTAGAAACATCAACTTTAGGCAAGTTTGACTGATTCAATAAGCGAAGCAGGAATGTGAGTCTAACACTGAAAGTATCTGTCTCTCGATCATTGACAAAAGTGTAGTACTAGTATATGGTCTTCTCACTCTACGTCTCCCAGTGGGAAGCCACCGTATTAGTCTACCAGCTGGTTCGTTAACGTTACTACGGGCCTACGTCGTCGCACTACAGACGAAATTGGCTGGAGACAGCCATAGAGTTGTTTGTTTGTTTGTTTGTTTGTTTGTTAGATGTTGTATCCATGAAACACTGTTCTCAACATTCTTGTGTATGTTCACCCAGTTTCTTGCTCTGGGCTGCATTCATAGCCCATGACTCAGAGCTGTAGAGTAGAATAGTCTCTGTACATTCTTTAAACACTTTATACACAATAACAGCGGACAACTAAATCTCTTGTTCAAGGTCAGAAGTCCCCGTATCATGAATCTATATAAATAAAAAGGGCAGCCCGTTAATTAACTGAGGTTTTCCCGTTTAAGACCCGTTTCCTGGCTCTTTGAAAGTACACAATGTCGTCTGTGCTTGCTTAACAATTCACGGAGGTGCCTTTTGTACATTAGAACCGCACCTACTTGAGCTTCCTGTTGATGTTGTGTTGTACTTGATACATGTCACCATGGACCACCTGGCCTGTACTGACCCAACCTACTTCCGGTATGTTCTGACGTCATTTCATGTAAGAAAGACTTCGTCCTAAAGGTTTTTGTGTCTTGCTTTTTTTCTTCTCTTTAGATCAAAGAATTGCCGAGAGATGAGCAATTTTCCAATGACTATCGGGTGAGTAATATGTTCTTTGCAAACATAAATGGTAGCCGTGATTTTATGGTGTGATTATATATAAATAAAAACTGCCAAAACATAATATAATTTCTTTTGGAACTGTTAATAGTGTTGTGATACAAGTTATACTAGTTCATGTCAGAATAGAAATTAAGGTAGTCATACATAGTACATGTATGTCGAACATAAGTCAATATTTAATACACATTCTATTAATTTTGCAAAATCATGCCCGAAGGCTACTTGCTTGTACAGTGTCAAAGGAAGTAAAGCAAAGCAAGAGAAGACATAAAACTACTTTCTGATCAACTTATACTACTACCACGTTTGCTATTGGGGGTTTGACTTCTTCTTCTTTGAAAGCAGTGAATAATGAATAGCCCCACGTTATGCATAATGAGTGACTTTAATTTTGTGATTTTAGTACCGACGTAGTCTTTTGGTGACAATCACCAACAGCCATAACACATTGTATCCATGTACATGATCATTCCAATGTGCCCTCATACACCACAGTGTATACATCGAGCTACATACATGTTTGCAAGCATGCATGTCTGCATACTAATGTTTTTTTTTTGTTTGAACGTACATTCCAGCACGACATAGTGAAGAAAAAGGTTGCGCTGATCGCCCAGAGTAAGATTGTCAACATGACGTCAGACAAGTGGCGAAGTCTTGACGACTTAAAGAACGTGTACAAGAACAATCTTGGCCCTCCCAAGGTATGGGTATATCCTTCCAAGGAACTGCCTTATCCTTTTAGACAAAATGTTGCTTCTTCTTTGATGCTCTCACTTTTTTTACCCATTTTTAATTTAGCAAAAAAAAAAAAGATTTCTATCCGTATACAGCTATCTTAGGTCATATACTAGTACTTATGAAGCCCCTATCAAAGCCTCCCGTACTCTAACTCCTCGTACTTAATCTAACAAAAGATCTTTTGGTTGCTACAAGAAAGTATCAAATTGTCCAGAAAGTATCAAATTGGTAGGGCAGTATCTACTATTGAGTCGCCGTAGTTTGGTTGGAGAAAAAAAGGTACCGGGACAAAATAGAAAGCCCAATGAAATACCTTAAGACTTAAGGAAATATACAGAAGCCTGACATCTGCTTGGAGTGTAAAAAACATCGTACAGAATATTCCTGAATGTTTCTAGCCTCCACCAGGCCTTCCTACGGGAATACGGATCGTAGAATTCGGCAAAAAAAAGAGAGTAAAATTGGACAGGGGAGTCCGGGCGCGGGAAGGTTGTTTCTTTCCCTCCGACTTCGCGGTCAGCCAAACCCCAAGGCGACCAAACTCCCCTGGCAAATATTCTCGTATATGTATCCAGAGTAGTTAGTCTGATAGAGACTAGAATGTTTCCAGGTGTGTTATCTTGTACAAACCGGTCCCAATGGTTGCCATAAAGACCCAGGGTGTCAGATAACGTCTGTAAAGCCCTAGGGAACACACCAACAGGTGGCTACGAGGCAACACATTCCGTTCCCCATACACAACCACTCACTGTACAAACCACCACTGTACAGGCCCGATCTGCACTATTTAAAACCTTTAGTGCGTAAATCCTTCACAGGCGCTCTCTAAATGCACTAATCTTCCCACCGATTCATACTGTAGCTTAACCAATTATAAGACTTACGCCTGGGCTTTAAGTGTAATGACTTGTGTCTATTACTACTACAAAAGAGCCTCCAGTTTATGTTCGTAAGTCACGTTGTCAAGGCGACGGCTGTCAACAAGTGGTCCTTATGTAAAACACATCTTACATAACAATGTCCACATGGAGAATATATCGAATGAATGACGAACTTTATTGCATATTTCTGCCACACTGGGCTAAATACAGGTCACAACAAAACGTGATGAGCAGATACAGATGAATTGATACATAAAAACATAAAAATAACCAGCATTAGCATAATAATCATAATTTCCGATTTCTGTGACATGATATAAACGCAAATGACAGATACTTTTTATTGAAATAAAACTGTATTACATGTGTAGGTTTATCCTAACTGCTTGTTGTATGTTGGAGTATATACACTGTTTTTTTATTATTATATATACACTGTTTTTTTTTAACCAGGGCATGGCCTATTGGAAGGAAGACCTCAACTTCGGCGAGCAAAGGCTGATGGGATGCAACCCGAATATTTTCAAGCTCTGCAAAGAAATCCCAGAAAAGTAAGAAAACTGTCCATATAACAGTATATTATGCTAATTTATATTAAAGAGTTAATAGATAACTAGAAAGGCCAATATTTGCTTTGGAGCAAATACAGCGATGGGTTCACCACATTTTACGACATGGCAGGGAAAGAATGAGAAACACAAGGGAAAACAATGATTTACATTGATATAACTATAATATGAAGTAACATACAACTAAAACAACAGTTGGATAGCTATTCCCTACTTTATTGGTTAGGATTTTTAATTGCATAATGCAAACTGTTGATTTTCAAAATAAAAAAAAACGTTCATGCCCCGCATTCCAATGCTGGAGCAGAAAAGCTTGAAATACCTACCAAAACACTTGAATAAAGACATACTGTCAGTATGAAAATGCTCTGTGCAGGTGTTATTAACAATCACATAAACTATGAAGCCATACATTGAATAAGCTATACATATAATATGATTATCATAACCTTTATTTTTAAAATCATGCCAGTGAGCTAATTGCATGTACAGAGTGAAAGAAAGTAAAGTAAAGCAGTAGAATTTCTGTACTAGCTATGATAGTACTTCATTATGATTCGTCCTCATCGTCATCATTCAATGTGGTCTATCTCTTGCTACTAGTGACTGGTAATACCTCTGTAGATTCTTCACACTGGCAGAGTACCGTACTCCTTCTCTCTTGTCAGCTCAATACTTTTGTGACAACATCAAAGTGATTTTAGTTTGTATGTTGGAAAAATACAAAAGACTAACATTCTAAGTTATTGACATTCTTGAGTAAGAACAATCAGTTTTTGAATGTTAAAAGGCAAAACAACGAAAATAAAAAAAAAATGTTGAAATTGTTAAAATGCAGAATTGTTAAAATTGTTAAAACTGATAAAATTGTTAAAAATGATAAAATTGTTAAAAATGTTAAATTGCTAAAAATATTAATGTCCGATGCACTGGGGTTCGAACTTGCAATACCTGGGATTGCCGCCTTGCGCGTTTCCAACCGAGCTAACTCGGTGCGATACACATCACTCACTGCATTGAATGTCATAAAAAGTAAACAGCATGGCGGTATCGATCGCTTCAAGGCACCAAGACTTTCAACTATTAACTACGGGGTTTCCTTCTTTATCAGGTTTGCTTTTGAACCACCTTGATGTTACTTAACTATCAACCCGGCTAGCAGAAGCCGCCGGCTCCTTTAATATTACAGCCGCTCCCTGTCCAATCTTCGAAAACTGTCGGGCATGCAAGCCCTCGACGCTCGCCAGGAAGCCGTCTCGCGATGTTCTCAGCAACAACAATTTACACTCTACAATTTTGGTGATTCTTCGGAGATCGATAACAGAACCTAGATAATACTAGTTGGTAAAGATTGCGGAAAATTGTTGATACCGTGGCGCGCGCGCCGACGATACACATTACGTACCGCGTAACTTTTTTGTTTACACGCCGGGCGCAGGTCATTGACCTCCAACTTGCGTTGTTCCAACAGAGAAGAGCAAAATGTCTGGCTCCCGCAGAACGTACCGCACTCTCCCGCTGGACGTACCGCACTCTCCCGCAGAATGTATCGCACTCTCCCGGAGGACGTCCCGCACTCTCCCGAGGGAAGTCCCGCACAGCGTCCTGCACTCTCCCGCAGAACGTCCCTCGAAAATCGATGCGTATTTCGTGGCCTGTGCTGTACCAGTACCAAAACACTTGAGTTCATACTGTCAAAATGGAATGGCTTTGAACAGGTGTTAATTGAGTTAATCCAATCAAATCCAACAGCCAATCAGCAAGAAGAATAGATTGGTCTGCGTCAGGTTCATGCTTGCATGCCCATATATGGGCATACCGACGAATTCCTTTCTTATTACGTCACGCGCGTACGCCCCCACAGTACTTTCCTATGGGGACCGCTAAAAAAGCAAATAAAACGATTGTAAAAGCTTGTATCACAAAAATTTAAAAAACGCCTAGGGGTATTTGCCCACTGTACCTCCATACCAAATTTCAGGACCTTGGGCCCTAAAATGAAGAAGCTGAATCCATTTAAAAAATGGCAGGAGAAGAAGGAGAAGGAGGAGAAGAAGAAACATCAGAAAAAGCAATATGGGTTCACCACCACTTCGTGGTGTGGTGAACCCATAACTACAAATGATCGAAGGTGTCCACAATTGAAAAGAAGAGGGTGCAGTGTTCTCTTATACATATGCATCCGAAAAGTCATACCTTCAGAACCTTGCCGCAACCTCCAGCCAACTAAGGTTGGTCGAAGTTCGGCTGCAGTCTTGTCTTTTAGGCTACGCCTACATTTCCACACAAGTCGATAGTGTTCGGCAAAGTGTGACATGAGCTTAAAAGAATGTTCTATTAAACCTCCCCGAGCCATAGAGTTCAGCTATTCAACATCTTGACGTATTTCCTGATACCCCCTCTCCCATGACGGTAAAACATTGTCCAACATGCCCTCTGGTACTCTTCAGTGACGTCAACATGACGTGTGTATATTTTGTTGTACAGTTTTGGCGTGACAGCTGAGATGGTGGAACCCTTTCTGGAGGGACTTTCTCTCGAGGATGCCCTGGGGTCTAAGCGGCTCTACATGGTTGACCTAACATTCTTGGAGGGGACTGAGTGTACCAATAACAGACAGGTATGGTGTAAAATAAAATAAGACCCTTCTATGACAATTCCCTACTATATACAATTAATTGGCTAGTAAGTGAGTTTATGAGTGAGATTTTGTTATTGCAGAACATAATAAAGAAATTCTTTCTTTTATCGTGACAGACGGACTGCAGAGTTCCTTACCGTCGCACGGTGACCCTACTGTGACATCTCCAGTAACTTCAAACAAAAAGGCCTCAGAAAGATAACGATGACGATGAAAACATTGCCTTTGAATGACGATTAGGAGTAAAGAATTCTAAATGTATTCATGAAACCTGTTGTTTTCCACAGCTTTGCGCCCCGTACGCTCTACTGTTCTGTAACAAGGACAAGGATTTGATGCCAGTCGCCATTCAGCTTTTCCCAACCAAGGGGCCAGACAATCCGGTAAGATTTTTTAGATCCATGTGCAATCATTTTTATGGCATTCTTGGTATCTACTACAGCATGCTGGAGTCTTATTGTTCATGCGATGGAATTTAGTTTATAATATATATTAAATATTTCAGGTGTTTCTTCCCTCCGACCCTACCTACACTTGGATGATCGCGAAAATGTGGTACAACATGGCCGACTGCTCTTTTCATCAATCATGCACTCATCTGGGTAGGTACAACAGATTGTCTGTGTGTGTGTGTGTGGGGGGGGGGGGTGCGCGCGCGCGTGTGTGTGTGTTTGTGTGCGGTGTGAGTGTTTATGTGTGCGTGTGTTTCCGTGATTCTACTACGTTATAGATAATTGTGCTTTTTTTATTTCTTTAGGACTCACTCACATCATTGCCGAGTCCTGCGCGATCTGCACCCATCGCCAACTGTCTGCATCACACCCGATGTTCCGCCTGATGGCGCCCCACTTCCTGTACCTACTGGCTATCAACACGTGAGCGCCCCCTTGCGATAATGATGATAATTACTCAACCATCATACTTCGTTTCCAACAGCATTTACAGCAATGTATTTAATGTGTATTTTGATTTTCATCAAATAAAACAAAACTTACATTCAAGGTTTACAATTTGTACGGAAGATGATGCAGTGGTTATAATGATATTTTCTACGCACTAATATTGTTATTCATATTTTTTTCTTCTCCACAGTCTTGCACTGGAGAGGTTGGTTTGTCCAGGTGGATGGATCGACAAAACGATGCAGATGGGAAGGGATGGACTGTTCAACATTGTGAAGAAAGTGTAAGTACATTAACTCTCTTCAACTAACATTTGAACCCCTACTAGTTGCTCCTAGTGGGTCAGTTAGTCCTCATTTTCAGTGATTAGATCTTAGAGCTAAAACAAACAAAAAAGTAAACTTAAGGACTTTTGAGGTTTCTACATGTATGTCCGAATGGTGTAGAAAAAGTTTGAGTATGAGAGAAATCACCGTATATTTACAGCCATGTAAAACTGTACTGTTAATTTTTCCTATAGCTGGAAAGACTGGAGGATGGACGTTCAGGGTACTCTTCCCGCTGAGCTGGAGAACCGTGGGGTCAGTAACGCTTCTTTCTATTGGTCTTTTGTTGTAGCCATAAAAAAGCATGAACCCTTTATATTTGATGTTTAATTTCTAGGACGTTTCCCATATAACCAAACAATATAACCCTTCTCCAGGTGGATGATGTTGAGGCCCTCCCCAACTACCCGTACCGTGATGACGCCCTCCCCATCTGGCACGCCATCAACAGATACGTCAGGAAGGTGGTGGAGGCAACATACGGTAAGTCCGCACTTTATTCTTGATACTAGTACTAGTAATCTCTATCATTGTACTATTTCTCGAAGTCTTCGTATGCCTCGATATGTCAATAAATATCCTTCGTCCAATTTGTAGACGTTCCAGCGAAGATTGCCGAAGACCACGAGCTCCAGGCCTGGGCACGAGAGTTAGGAGCACCCCTGACGGAAGGAGGCTGTGAAATAAAGGTACGAGTCACCCACGTTTGGAACCATGTTCTTAAGAATTAACTTATCATTACTGTACTTGAAAATATGCGTATTATCATGTGACAACATTCAACGTTTGAAACATTAATATTGATGAATTATCGGCACCTAGCTGCATTAAAATTCACAACCAGTAATTGTTCCTCTGAAAAAAATGACAGACGGTCACTGAAACTTCAAATGTGACCCCCCCCCTCTCTCAGACAGCCAGTCTCAAACGCCTATAACTTAAGTGCACAACAACACGATGGTACAGTTCCAAATCTGTTTACAGATCAAATGTGACCTTTTTAACACTGGTAATATTTCATATTCAGGGAGTGCCTGGCGATGGGAAGTTTACGACTGTTGACGAGATCGTTGCCACGGTGACGTCCATCATATTCATCTGTAGTGTCGGCCACGCAGCCGCCAACTTCGCCCAGTACGACGAGTACGCTTTTCCTCCAAACTACCCAGCATTCATGCACGGAGAACCACCTAAGACCAAGGTAAATAACGTTTTTTCATGCTTGGTTTCGCAGAGGGGAGCATATTGGTTTTGCTCGCTTTCTTCTTCTTCTTCCGTTACACACAAATAAAGGCAATGGCCTGGACCAGACGTCTGTCACCATGGTAACTGGTGCTGTAGCAGAAACCCTATGGTGTTTGTTACATTATGTAGCAGAACAGAGTTGGAGAGGCTGCAACAATTACAATAGTTTTTCCACTGTTGTCGATGTTGTTTTTTTCCAATGACTTAATTGAATGTCTTGCTTTGTACTAATTATAAACTATGGTTTTCCTCTAACCCCTACAGGATCCTCTAACGGAACAAGACATCATCAGCGCCCTCCCCAACAAGTCCCACACCCTGGACATCATGGTAGTCACCAAGATCCTGAGTGACAGGGGGACACAACCACTGGGCGACTTCGAGAGGCAGTACATGTATGATCCGCTAGGCGTCAAGGCGTGGAAAGAGTAAGTTTATGTGTGCCACAACATTCTGTAATAGTCACAAAATCCAGCAACTATTTGCATGCATAGATAACCTACACAACACTTTCTAGATCTTGTATCATATCGATCGAGTTTATTGCAAATCCATGTAATGTTCCGCATTTTTCAAAATTTGTGGGTTTTGGAGAGTTATAAAAGCAGGATAGTTTTTCTTGCCGTACATTTAGAGAAATTAGGATAAATCTTCGTGGTTTAAAGAGATAACTCATTGTGTTTATTTTTTTATTCCCCCATAGATTCCGTCAGGAGCTTGACGCCATTTCTAAGGAGAGCACTGAACGAGACAAAGCGAGGAAGAATTCGTACCCATACCTCAACCCCAGCGAAATTCCCAACGCTATTAGTATCTAAAACAGCAAAGCAAACATTGGAAGCTCTGAGATCAAAGTCTAGTAAAACACTTGTGTACTATCTATGTTTACTGCAATGTTACTGCTAACGGAAAATGATGCAATAAGAGTCATAGAGAACACAATGTTTGTGATGACGCACAGGCTACCACGTATACTATAAGCTTAGTTTGATGTTTCAATACAATGATTGACGTTTTACCATATTTGGCATGTTTTATTCCAGTAAGGTTTGACAACAGGAAATGTACGGATAACCACTAATATGTGGTAATCTATCCAGAGCTGTCCATATTTGAACCTGTATATTTTTCCTTTGTATAATATGTTACACATTTTTTACACAGTTTATAAGAGATGTGTGTGATTGCTAAGTTTTTAGTAGTGACTTCTTTTAACCGCTGTTCGAATAGTTTGCTGCTAAGTCATAGGTCAGATCTTTGTGTGAAAGAAGTGAAACATTATGCGCTGCTACTTTCTTAATGTGTTTGTATAGTTTGGACCATTACCTAAGCTATCGGGTATAATCATAATTCATGGTGGTAGTTTCTTAGTATCACATATGTAGTGTAGCCAGTTTCTTTAGCATTTTTGTAGAATGATTCTTCTTTGGATATACTACAAGGAGAGGCTGCTGAGCCCTTCGACCAACTATGAGAATTTCAAGCTTATAAGAGTAAGATTAAGTATAATATTTAATAGTGGGCGTGCACTTTACTATCTGCTGTACATACTATTAGATAGGTTATAATGTGTGTCGCTTTACTAGATCGGAAGACTTATATAAAGGTAGAACAGAAAGGTTGAAGAATTGTGATTATCAATTTATTTGTTGTATCTAACGTTAGGCCATGTGGATTTGATTACATGGATGACATCCTCTGGGAACCCCAAAACTGATGCGAGCGTGCGAATAAATAAGGTTTTGGCAAATAAATGTCTTCGTTATGAAATCTATGAGGTCATGAAGGTTGAACAAATGACCAAACACACAATATTAGTGCGGTATGGCGAATAATAGACTCTTCATTTTCATTTCATCACATTTTCTTCGTTTCCTTTGGAATTGATTTTGGCATTCTACGACAGTAGTATCGTTTTCCATTATTTTTTTTTGCAATTTACGGTATACATTTGCTCATTTTGAAACTGCTTTGTACGATTTACAGTATGGTTGAAAACTTTTTAACAGACGAAAATTCATGCGCGCGCGGATGTCATCCATATAATCACATCGACATGGCCTTAATATGAGAGAAAAATCATGATAAAAATGAATGTTGGATGAAGAAAATTGAATAAAATATAACAGCAACAACACTTTAACGCCTCTACTTTGCGTGTACATGGATTATTTGCGCACGATACGCCCAGTGCACAAAATACATTTTAAAGATCACGTTTCCTTGTCTGCTTATCCAGTCTTCTGTTCCCGTATGTTCCTCCCTTGTCCCGATTTGAATCCCCATTCCAAAGGTCACCACACGTACGTATACAGACCCGCCCAGAGGGACTACTATGTACCATTATAACAACGTTAACATAAAGACCACCGAGGTCGTTGCACTCAATACGTCCCAGCAGAAGCTAGGAAGAACAACAACACATCGCTTCCTCATACAGTAAGTATTACAGTCAATTTTCACAAGTGTTCTTTCTGAGAGTGAATACAGCATCAAGATTTAAAATGAGCCAGACACATAGAACATGTTCGTGAGCACACATAAGGTTTTTCAGTCTTCTTGTGATTACCAATGTGTAAAACCGGTGGCGACACAAAATTGCTATGACTCACAAAGGACGGATTTTACAACGTGGTTTGTATCGAGACGAAAACTGGACACACCTTTTTCTTACACTACACCCAGTCTGGATTCTAAGAGCATCATTTCAGGTGCACTTCGGTAGTTTGTTCTTAAGTGGTTGAGAAAATATAAGACTTATAATGAATCCAGGTGTCGACACTGTTTAATAGGGTGTCCTTGGAGACATAATTATTGTTGTTAGTGCTCAAATTTTGTCCTGATTGTCTAAAAAGCGATGTTGTCCAACAACCTTCGTCCTTTTTACCTCCCTAATTCGATGAACAGATGGGTCATTGTGTTTAGGCAGTCGCTAGACTAATCCATGCCTACCCAGATTGACGTGTTAAGCTCTGTTAGATTCAGAAGAAAAGAATTTGGAACGAGGAGTGTGTTTTTTGTCTCTGCAGGTGTGAACAAGAGAAGCTTGGAGAAAATCATGGCTAGCAAAGGTAAGACTTTCTGGGTACATGTGGTAAGAAACAGCATTCAAGTAGCAATGTTTAAAGACATCCACTGCGATTTTGGTGCGGCAAAACTTGGCTTTATTGGTCATTCGTTTAGTGTAGTAAGTTGAGTCAAGGACATTTCATTATACAGAATGTCCTTGGTTGAGTCAACCATATCCCATAGCGTACTGATATCTGTGAGGCAAAATGTGATGGTTCTAACCATTTATGGGTGGTGTCAAATAAAGACGCATTAAGTACCTTTTTTGGGGGGGAATGAAGTATGAATCGAGTCCGAAAATGTGCTAAGTAATGTCACTAAATATCAATATCATACAGACTTTTTTGGTGCCCTGAAATTGCATTGAATGCTTTTCAAGCCAGTCATTTTTGTGCTAATACATAACGACGCCTTTTATCTGTTCAGGACAACAAGTAGTTGAAGAAGTCATCCAGAAAACGGATGTAAACGCCCCTAAAGGTATGTCCTAGTGTTTCAAATCATATGTTATAATATATGTGTGAATATGAATCACACATTCTGATCATAAACTTTGTGTGTGTCTCAAAACACGACCGATATATAACGGTTGAACAAAGTTGAAGCTTTCTGTTATCGGCGTTCTTAAAAATATTGAAACAAAAATGTCACGCAGAGTTTGTCAAGTTATTTCCTGATTAAGAAGTAAGGTCGCTATTTAGTGCCAACAGTAAGTAAGACCGTTTTCGTTTTTTTTGGGGGGGGGGAGGGGGTTAAAAAATGCGGTCATATATTATGTCTTATTTCATAACATCCAGGAAAGCGTCAGCAGGTTAGCGAAGACGTGATAGTCCCCACACGGAAAGACGATGTTCCCGCACGGAAAGAAGATTACGTCCCTGGTGCTGCCCCTCCACCTGAAGTCATACAGAAGACACTCGGTAACTTTTTTTCTATTTCGACATTTAAATAGAAAAATACATAGTGATGGCGTGAACTCAAGCGAATGACTTACATTAACGTTTAATATTACCGCTGGACATAAAATGATAATTACAACGTGAGATAAAGTATGAAAAGGGGAACGTCCGATATACAGGAACAGAAAATTAGACTATTATGATGATGTTCTCTGTATTCGGTTTGAATCAGTTTAGTTTCACATAGTATAATTGTGTGATAGTGAGAATTAAAGCCTTGATCTGAGATGTCAATAGAAGTGATCCCCCAATAGCAGATATACTGTGGCACTATAAAATAAATTGCTAATATACTTATATTGTTAAAAATCAAAATATTCAAATTTACAAATTGTACTTGTTTTTTGAAAATCTAATAAAAATAACGTGGAAAAAAATATTCAAATTTACAAGTCTGTACATATTTTTTCCAATCAATATGACAGGATTAATCCGACACTATACCTTAACTTGTGTTTATACATGATTCAGAAAAAAAGTTTTCCATAATGCATTTGTTTCAATTCAATTCAGTTATGCAAATTGTGAATTTTATAACCAGGAAAACGACGAGAAGTTGTTGAAGAGGACGAGATAGTACCAGTCACCAACAAATAGGTAATTTGTTGAAACTTCTTACTAGATTCTATACTTAGTAATTGCTATGATAGCTTTTTTAGCTCTGTCTGTTAAGTCATTTGCTCAACCTTCATGGCCACAAACCTTTTTATTCGCACGCTCGCGTCAGTTTTGGGGTTCAAAGAGGATGCCATCCATGTAATCAAATTAGCATGGCCTTAGTACACCATAATAAGCAGTCCTGACATTACTTGTGCCTACTCTCATTTATACATAACAATGAAAGCTTTAAAAAGTTGTACAAGGAAAGTAGAAATCATATCAAATTCTGACTATTTTCTTTTCCCCTTTTTTTTATTGCGTTCAGGTTCCTGTTCATCCAACTGAAAACCACTAGTGTAAACATGCGGATGCACTATCCAGAATTCACCAGTGTCTTCTGCTTTATCTAAGTCTCAGCAACAAGTATAGAACACGTATGAAAATGTAGAACATGTATGCTTTTCGGGATATAAGAGAGGGGGAAGGTGCGCAAGGAAAATTCTTTTTGAGCATATCATATTTCTTCGATACGATCATGCTTGTGAATCTTTCAGTTTTGCTTAACAATGTTGTTAATTTTTGTGGCATATTTTTATGCAATATTCTCAGTGTAGAATTGAAAAAATAAAACTTGACTCTGAAATAAACGTTATGTTTTATCAAGTACATTAATTATGCGATATCCGGGGATTCTTAAATACTTTACAAGTTCTCTTCAATCATACATCATTCGAACTCACAAATAGAAAAACCGTCAGAAGAAATTATAAAGCCTACTTGTGTCTATCTTATGCCTCATCAGCTCTTCTTCAAAGCATACAGATGGTGATTTGTATGCCAAAGGGACTTGTCCAACAAGTTTTGACAGTGGGAGCTCGATTCCAGATGTTACACCAACAATTTAAATACCTCTGACATGCATGAGAAGATATCGTTGTTTGGCCAGGTGGTCTCTGCTATTGATGTAGATTTACGAGACAGATAACTTACAAAATCTCTTTAAATGTCTTCTTGCACGGAGAAGCATAATTTTCATCCTCTCTACATATTTCTACATCCTTGCTGCAAATTGAGTGTGTTCTTATAGATTGCAGTTTGGCAAGAAATGTTCCCTAAAGCAACCAGTGCCCAGTGCAGTTTTAGGGATTGAGAGCACGATTTTTCATACTCAATATTCTAGTTACTTATCTACAAATTAAGTTGAAATAATACAACGCTATCCCAATGTATGCAGAAATTTTGGAGCAAACATGCGAAAAATTGTGATGGAGAGTGGTTACTGGTAGGATCCTGGGCTGATTTTTGGGGTATCATCCAGAAAATAAAGGACTCATCTTGGGGATTGTTTCTGCGCTGTTTTGAATGAAGTATGAAATACTGACTCAAATGTGCTAATGTGAAGCAGTATGTGTCAATATCACAAAAATTGCCTTATTCAGAATATTTCCAATTTCGCTGCCCTGAAATCGCATTGGATGCCTTTAAAGACGGTTTCTTCAACCTATGCATGTTAACAATTAAAAGCTGCGATACAAATCAGAAGTAATCAGTTCTTATTTGCCTTTTCAAACCACATCTCTTCTTTAATTGACAATTGTAAAGTGAGGAGCCAACCTTGCCCTTTCCACTGATGAGTAGTGTGAAGGCAGCCAAACGCAATAACGCATGAAACCAAGCGAACCTCTGTTAACAATGGGCGACTCTGACTGTGATCCCACACAGATTAACGGATTTAACATTCAATTCAACGGTATGTCTCACTTCAAGCAGGTGACAGAATATTCACTTGGTTGACACAATGGACTTTTTAACTAGTCTAGATGAATAACCAAAATATTGTCTTCGCCGTTGAGTACTGTTAGTGGATTTCTAAATGCTTGAGTGGATACTAGTCAATATATAATTACAATATATACAAAGCCGTCCCACTAGTTTTAAAAGATAGCCTGCCTGTTCTTTTTTTTATCTATCAAATCCAGTGTATACTAAGAGTATAGTAAAAGAACACCGAATAAACAATGAGTTTTGTTTGACATTGTCCGTTTCGGGGACCGTCCATTCAACAACTACCAGAAGGCCACACCAAGAAAAAGCACAGGGACATTTGAGACGCGTAATTAAACAACAATAGAGAAAATGTCTGGAACGACAACTAGATGCCCTCCGGAGCGGAAGAATAATGAGGCCGCCATTTTGATGACCCGCGCCTAATTCGGTGTTCTTTCAATCGTCCCTGAGGGCTGCCTGAGGGCACGTTCAGGGGAGACATAACAAACATGGCGGACGACAACACAGGTACGTCAACATACATTTGACGAAATGTTATCAAGACGTAGCTTATTTCATTCCTAGGCAACTCTAGATAACACAGAAGCATATTTTCTTGCATCCTTTCTCCTTTGAGATGTCGTTGGCATCTTGTACGTTGTAGCATTGCTGGTAGAATCGGGATATATTCCACAGCTGTGTTCTACATATGTCAAACTTCCCCAGTAGGTTCTAACAAACAAGAAACGTAATAGCTTACTCGGTGATTATAGCGTTTTCCTTTTTGTAACGTTACATGATGTCCATTATGTATAACAAACAAGGTGTTATTATAGTCAACAAAGTTAGTTAATTATTGTATCTGTAAAATGACCACGGTATCTTGTATGTTTCTGAGAGCAACGCTTAGACCTCAGACCACTGTTCTGATAGGGATAAGTTGACAGAAGAGATAAATTGATATGTTTAAGGCGTCGACGAATTAAGGAGGTGATATCTGTGTATCACATACTTACAATAGGTGATATCTGTGCCACACATATACAATAGTTGATATCTGTACGTGCCACACATTTACTACTAGTAGGTGATATCTGTGCCACATATTTACAATACAAGAAATAAACGTACTTTAGTAAGGCGGGATATGATCAAGGATAAAACCAGCCAGCTATAATTACATGTAACAAATGAAGTCACTTTTATTATGAATTTACATGTTGCCCCTTGGGCATAAATATTGTATAAAGATTGATTGATTGTTTGATAGGAATGACATTGTAGAAACTAATGCAATGTATTCTATTTTCCCCAATGCAGATAAGGAAACCATAGTCGGTGGCAATGTGAGCCTCATGGTCTCAATCTTCGAGCGAAAACAGGAAGAGGAACGACGAACAACCAATGAAAGTCCACAGACCCAGAAAGTGTCAAGACGCGAAGAAGGAGACCTCGTCTCTTCCTTCAACGCCTCCTTACGAGAGGAGGAGGAGGAGAAACAGCGGCAGATGGAGGAGTTGAGAGAGAGGTTGAAGGAAGAGAGAGGCCTGATGACAGAGGATGCACGGATCGTACAGACCACGTCAGAAGTGCTGCTCACCATGGGACAGAACAAGGAGAAGGAGATGGAAGTCATCAGAGCACAGCTGAAGGAGGAAAGAGTCAACATCTCGGAGGATGGGAAAATAGTGGGTGAGTCTCATGGATTTTCTCCGTTTTGCAATTGTGCATACATTGTCTAGTTATCATCAGGTGATATGATATTATATGTACAAATATACTTCATATATTGCCATTTTGTGACCTGCATCTAGCCTGATTCACTTGCACTTCATTTTTTTTTAGAATAGACTAGTATTTTTGTGTTGATTGCTTTATCATTGTTGCCATTAATTGTACCATGTACAACTGTCGAGCAGTTAAGGTCATTCATTTTTTTCTTATCTGAAGGAATAAGACAAACGCAGGTAAAACCACAGATTTGTTGAACATGAAAAATACACAATTTGCTATCACTAGCTTGCTATAGAAAATAGATAGCATTCTGTCTATATTGATAGGGAATACGTACTAGTGTTGACAGAAATACAATTCTTTTCATACAGAGACAAGTAAGTCTGCTCTCCTGTCTGAAGAAGAAGCCAAGCGAGTACAGTTGGAGCTGGAGAAAGCCGATCTGGTCAGACAGAGGATGCAGCTCTCTGGTGATGCAAGTCTGGTAGAGAAGGCAAAGGGGGCGCTTTTCACAACCGAAGAGCACCATGGGATAGAAAAATGGCGTACAGACGGTAAAATAGTGTCAACGACAACTGAGTCCATCAGGACCTACCAACAAGGTAATTCAATATCGTGAAAAATTTAACTGTTGTCGAACTTAAAGAAAACAGATTCACTGAGATTTTCGACCGAATCTTCCTGCCTTCATCAGCTATCTGACCCAGGACACGTGATCTGACGTCAGCACTGGGTCAAAGTTCGTCGGAAGTCGGTACCGCCCCACGTGTCTACAGTAGTAGGGTTTCTTTCAGTTGGAGATCAGTTGAATTTTTACCAAATCAGATGAACTTTCATGCTAGTATTTCAATATCATATATCAACGTCTTAAAATAACCCTGTAGTTTGATAAATCTTATTACTCATCAATATCATACATATTACATTTTTCTTTACAGGTGACGAAAAAGTAGAGATCATAGAAGCAGCTACCACCTACACAACAGACGAAGTAGAAGGAACGGTTACTAATATTGTATCACAAGCGGAAATGGCAACACCAATTTCCGGTAGGTCTCAGTTATTACATACAATTGTGAAAATGACATGTTTATGATTCAATCAATCTCGTGGGGTCGTGTGGCGTTAAACGACAGAGTGCTTTGCTCAGAACCAGGAGGTCCCGGTTGCTGCCTTGCCACTGATCTTGTGTCGTTGGGAAAAGCACTTAACACGACTAAATCACTTTGCTCTGGTGAAAATGAGAATGTCTATTGTCTTCTGAGTTGGTGGTGGAATAAACATAAGCTGAGAATCTTGATGTGCCGTCACCATGTCTTTTCCTTAAATGTTGGAATAGAAAAAAACTTGCTGTTGCCTTTTACATAGAGCTACAGACCACAGAAGGGGAATCCGGAGTTATCACTGAGACAAGCCTTGAAGAAATCAAGAGTGGAGGCAGTGACACAACTACGGTGATTCATCCGCCACAAGAAATCGAGAAAACAATAGGTAACCTTGCTTTAACATAACATCTTCAAGAAGCAGCAGCAGCAGCAGCAGCAGTAGTTGTAGTAGCAGTTACTGTAGTAGTTGTAGTGTAGTAGTAGTAGTATAGTATAGTAGTAGTAGTAGAAGTACATGTATTAGTAGTATCTGTTGGATTGTCTTAGCATTTCATATAACTTAAATGTTGTTGTTCTATCTATGTCTTGTCCAGGAGAGTCACAAGTTCTGATTGATGACATCATTGCACTGACAAGAGCGAAAAGAGAAGAGAGAATGTCCAAAAGGCAAACCACGTCAGTTCGTACAATCACATCAACAACGTCAGGTATACATGCTATATCTCTGTCAATTTGTATACATGCTACAATTCATATACAATTCATATACATGCTATTTCTCCACCAATTTTAGACGAAGAAGCTTAACATATATAGCGAAATAAAAAACATAGTAGAAAAATGTTGATGAGTTGCTCTTAACATCATGACTACATGTTCAATGCTCGAATTCATGAGTTTTTAATTTTGAACCTGTTATACTTACTAGTTAATGTTGTATTTTCCAGGGGAACAGGTTCAGGAGATGACAAAAACAGAAACAGTTGTGATGGAAAACGGAGAGACAGATAAAGGTAATGTTTCTGTCAGACCAATTATCTTGTCAACTTGCTTTGAAAGATTAGCACAAGATCAGTATGACATTATTAAGTATATCTCAACTATTTGCACTGTGTATGTTTTTCCCACAGTCTTCTACATCAAGTGATTATTAGAATAATATCTTTTAATTTCAGTCTATGCTTTCATATTTGGCACATTTGATATTTTTGCCCATTCCTTCCTCCTATAAACAGTTTTCACTCAACATGACTCATTTTCACATCAAATTAAGTATCACTAACACGCCTTGAACATCCTACACCTGTCAATCCATAGACCATAGACAATTTAGTCTTCGATTCAGTCATCTTTTTGTGGTATCATGAATGGTTCCAATATGATTTTTGAGTGCTGTTTATCTGTTAATTATGCTGAGCCTGTTATAAAAGTATCCATTGCAATTTCAGGGCGGCAAAATAGAAAATATTTTGGATGAGAAAGTCTGCTTGATATTGACATTTACTATACTGCAATTTCTTATCACATTTTCGCCATTATTTCATACATGAAGCCTTTTAAATAACCCCAAAACAAAAGTGCAAACTACTTGAGGGGACTCTTTATTTGGGTACCACCGATAAATAGCTAGATCTAGCCTACGATACAATACAAGCAACCGTTTTCCGTCAGCTATGGGATACGATTGATTCAACTTACTACATGGAAAGAATGACAAGAAAGCTGACTTTATATGAATAAAGTTATGCCGCCCTGAAACTGCATTAGATGCCTTTAAACCTATACCATTGCAATATTCTAACACAACCTGACAACATGGACAATGGATCCATGGGCGAGAAACCAAACATGCTTGTAATGCTGCAGAGCTGAACGGCGGAGAGGGACAGTCGTTTGAAGACGTCGTGAGGCGGATGGAATCAGTCCTGGAAACCGTCAAACAAAGCGTCGAAACACTGGAGAAAACCACACGCTGGTCACAGAATGGGAGGAAGGCTTGAAAGATATATCGTAAAACCAAGATACACTAAAACCAATTCATTCAATAGACACAGTGAGATCATTGGTCACAGTGCCAACTGGATAGTTGATAAGGATAATCAGTTTACATGTATATCAGTCTTATTAGTGAAACATTATGTTCACAGCACCTTTGTTCATGCCATACATTTAATTTCCTATTTTGCAATTAGTTAAAATGAACATCACATAATAAAGTAGCATTAATTTATAACAACCAAAGACGAGATCGACTAAATAGAATATGTATTATGTATGTATCTTCGAATTCACCAGTGTACGTACGTACGAGTATAATGAATACTAAGATAGATAAGACTATGTAACTATTACAGCTTTCTTCATCATTAAATAACAAAGTCTTATGATGTACGAGTATCTACTAGTATCCATGCACTGTTTTTTTTCGTATATAGAAAGATTGTGTAATGTATGCGAGATGGCTATCAAACTTAACAATAGATACTTCTCGGTCGACCTATTACTGGGTTAAATGTAAAATATTCAGTGCTACATTCAGGTTTTATTGATGATCTCTGATCAATGGAATTCTTTCTCCAAAGAAAAGGTAATCAGGAAAGACAATGGTCAACATCCATGTTCCACATGTGGTGTAGGTTAACATCTAACAATGCACCCTAACACCACTGTTTATATGTTTCACAGCACCAGCTTTAAATATGTAACATAACACATGGGATATGTAGATATTAACATAAATCATAAATCATCATAAACTCATAACAAGTTCTTAACAAACACATTACATGTGTCATGTCATAACTTTTCACATCATCTTTTCTTTACAGTCATAACTTTCGGTGGAAAGCATGCAGCTAGCTATTTGGGGATCTCTTATCTCTTCTGTGCCAATTTATCTAGTTTTCATACATTTTGTAATTGTCCTTTCAGCATGCGATGAAGGGATGACGAGTTTTCATACCACTGCTAGCGAGACAAGGGTAGAGACAACAGATGAAGGTATGTGTCTACATAAGCAGTATTATCTATCACAAGATGAATTTTGCCGGGTACATTGCATATGCATTGACAGCAACGAAGGAAACAACACTGCCAATTATTGAAAAATGACGGTATTTACTAACGAATCATACAACTGGCCTAGTTGTGGTATCGTGACGACTCTTCTTTAAGTCCTGTCACACATTCACGACCTTGGCCCGAATTTGTTCCCGAACACTAGACGACCAGATTCGGCTGACGATCGGGGGCAGTCTCACACGATTCAGGCCACGACTAACTTTACATACGAATATAAACGAATTTTAGTAAAATTTGAGCAGCAATCACTTGAATAGTCCTTACTTGAAAAGTTCAATTTAGTGTAGATTTAAGTTCTTGATTTAAAATTCCAGTTTTCTGATTGTGTATTATAGTCACGTACGCGAGTTTCGGCCAAAGACTGTTGCCCATTGTTCTCATACAGACCACTTGTGCTCTTATGTTTGACCAGCTGCTATGGTTACTAGAGTCGATCTTTAAAACAGTTGAACTAAGCTGACTTGGCAGTGTGTGTTTCAGTAGACGTTTCTTGAATAATAAGTTTTAGACCGGAAGGGAGTGGAAATAGGTGGGGTGTTTGTGGCATGGAAGCGGCTACGAGCCAAATATTTTTGTTGGGGAAGTGGGGAGGGGGGGTACACTAATATTACACACCTGAAAAATTAAATGGGCGAGATCACCAGTACCCTTAAATACGTGCATATTTTCATATCTATACGCTCTTAAGAAATATGAACATCAGGCCAGCGCCAATGTTTTTGACAGGCGATAGTTTTTTACTCATGGCACTTAGCACGGGTGCATGTACGAGACAATGGCGGGTGTCCCGCGACATACATACAGCCTACGGTGAGCCTGCTGGAACTATAGACGCGTGTCGTCGGGCATACCGAGAATATTACTGGTTCTAGTCTTATTACCGGGCCCTATGTAAAATATAGGAGTGGATGTTCTATGGAGGAAGATATATTTATGTTCTATAGAGGAAAAGTTTTTATACAATTAACCTATGGAAAGTGTTTGAAAACATTCCCCGTCTTTCTCTATTCAAAGCTGTTAAAATCATACAACATTTTATGCTAAAACTTACTTAGTATTGGCAAATAAGACATACATCAAGATTCTTGTATTTTTCTGCATTTTGTCCAAATGATGACTTTTAGTTATTTATTTTGACAAGTTTATACCAAGTCTGAAACAAAAACGCAATTTCTGACACAGTAAGGGACGTTAAAATTAAGTTCAGGAAATATCAATCTGAGACAAGTGGCCGTGAAACTGGAAGTTTACCTGAACCAGCCCATGTAACGTCCCGCCGAGTCAGTCTACCTCCCATTTGGTCCCAACAAAAGGCACAAAAATGGCCTCCAGGCGGGTTAGGTACGGAGGTCGGCAGATTACTGCAAACCAGCGCCAGGTTCTGGGCACGGGTTGGAAAGGTCAGTAGTGCTGAATTCTAAACTAAGATCAGACATTGTTGTTAGTTTTTCTTTTGCCCTTGGCTAAATGTTACCGTTTTGAAACAATGCGAATGGATATTGTTTTGTTGAGAGATTGTCAGAGTGCACAGGAAATGTTTGGCTTTTGTCCGAGTTTAGACACCCATTGCCTTATCGTTTGGTACTCAGTTTTACAACGGAAGTGTGCTATAGATCTAAGCCTAAATGCTCTAGACAAGACGGCTACTGCCTATCCATGAAGAACTAGCACGGAAAATCACTCATATTACATGGTGGCATTATCTGTGTTAAACTTAGTATATAAAAAGAACAGACCTAAAGGGGCATGCGGCTGGTTGATAATTTTACTAAAACTGTGATTTGATATGTGGCGAGCAGAAAATATCTCTCCAACGTTCAGGAAACTTCTCCTTTCCTTGTTGTCATACAGCGCCAATAATCTTACAAAATTTCCAGTCACCCTTTCCTCGATTACCTGACAAAAATGTCCTAATCGCCCCCCCCCCCCCTACAAGATGCACAGGCACGTACTTCACTTCCTGATTAAACCGTTTACCTGTAGTCATACTGTTGTCACATAGAGGTCGAAGTTCATCTGTGTGTCAACAATCGTATGTTGTAGGTTATCAGTAATTTACAGGGTCGGTGATTTTAACGACTGTTACGTTGTTAAATGTTCTAGGGGAGCACTTCGACTAGTTTTAACAGTGATTCAATGTATTTCTCTGTTACACCGGGCTTGTAATAACTGTGGTCTAGTGGTCCATGGGTTTCAAAAACGTCCTTCTAGCAGCGACGAGCCTTTTGTGTGGCTTGATTTATCGTGTATTTAGCTCACGTAGGCTTTGTTTGGTGTCGAGCATGGGTGGTGATTTCACGGGGAGGGCCCAGACAACACGGGACGTGTATAGAAATCACAATGGCATAGAACAGTGCAGTGGCAGCAACTGGCATGTTTGTACCAAAACCTCTGTCACACATTCAGGACCTTCACCTGAATTTGTTCCCGAACAGCAGCCGACCACGTTCGCGCTCTAGCCAGATTTAGGTCACGCCTATATATCGTTCTATACGTACTAACGAAACAAACTTGAGTTAAATTTGAGTCAAATTTGATCCCCCAACACTGCTAACTTTCTCTCGGATGGCTGGCTAGTGTTCTTCTGACTTACAGTCGAACATCAGCCAATCCTGTACGAACCTCCAACCGTGTACGAACCTTGCTCTATCTACTCCTAGCCATGGTTGCGGACAGTTCGGCTAGTATTCGGGAGGCCAAATATGCGAATGTGTGACAGGGGCTAAACTGGTAATAAAGAACGAGATATCTTCACGAGAGTCTAGGTAATTTACCGATTGATGATAATGCAAAATCTCAACGAAAAATAATTGCAAGGTGACATGATTTTGCAGCGAGGTGCCACGCCATCTAACGATAGAAGTCACAACTGCAGACTGAGTTCGTCATTTGAAGCTTGAGGGCAATGTAGGGCAACAGGTCGCCTGAGCGTAACGATCCCTCGGCAACATTGTTTATAGTTTTAAAGCTACCCTTTATGATGTTACAGGTGCAAAAACTACGGTGACCACAGTCACAACAGTACGCACGAGTAATACTAGGACTCAGTCTGGAGAATCTGCTAGTGAGTCAGCAGCGACGAACAGAATGTCACAGGAAGAGATACAGCAACATATTCCAGGTAACATGATAAGGCAATACCTTTTTGATGAATTGATTCTCACATTTGCCAGCTTCATTTTTTTCTGATTTGAAAACCCCTGGGTAAAATGACGGAAATGACTGAATAAGTAAAAAGTACTGAATCAACTCCAAAATGCCAAAATTCTCATATTTTGGACCCATCAGTTGGCAATTGGGTTTAGTCCTTGTCTTCCTAGTAGTTTCCTTGTTACAATTTGTCCGTATAACCATGCAGTGATTTGATAAAAAGTGAATCATCGAGTCTCTTGAAATCTGCTGTGTTTGATTTGAGAAATGTGAATATATTGTTATGTTAAACATCCATGACGAAGTTAAATTCATCTTAATTTAAGTTTAAGATGACTGTTCAATGTATATTTGCTACAAATTATGAACCAACTATATTATGGTACAGAGCCATTGCCAGAGGTACCCGGTATTGACTTCAAACAGTTTGATGACGTGTGTGATCTGGCGGATGACATGCTGAGAGAAGAAGACAACCCACCGGTACCGGTACAAGAGACAACATCTTGTAAGTCTGAAAACTAATCTGCAAATTTGATCTACTGGTTTTAAACGCATCCAATGCAATTTCAGGACATGAAATAATAAATTTCACTGTACCATTTGCTAGCACATTTTCTTCATCATTTCATTCTTTCAGTGTTTGAAATAGTCCAAAAACAAGCCATGTGAGGAGTCTCTTTATTTTTTGGGTACCGCCCATAAGTACCAGTCTACGATACGAAATAAGCAACCGTTTCACAGATATCAGTATTCTATGGGATACGATTGATTCAACTTACTACACAAAAAGAATTGACCTTTGTCACCCTGAAATCGCATTAGATGCCTTTAAGTTAAACAGGCATTTGTATTGTCGAAGTGCATGGGAATAACAAACATTATCTCTCAAAACGGTTGACATGTTGAGTTGAATGACATCATATTGAGCACGCCCTGTTTCTATATCCCATTATTGTAGCTTCCATACACATATACAAGTGTGAGCTGTGCAGCTAGTATTATCGTATTTCTAGCCAAGTTTATACAGATTCTTTTGACTCAACAAAAGTACAGGGATTTTCATATGGATTTTCATACTTCAACTAAGATCAAACACAACTAAAATACAGTAATGTTTAGTTTTGTTCTTTCATAGTTGTAGTAGACCATACGAAAGTCCCTGTAATTCTGAGGCAATACAAAATGCATTGAATTTCCTCGAATTGATACACGCCATTCCCTTGTACAGGGATACTGGAATATATCTGCGTTGTACTTTAGAAGAAAATGGAAGACTATGTTTAGAGGTTTGTAAATTGAAGTACATGATTGTACTCCTGAATCCTAAAATGTAACATTGGGGTGATGATTCAGGTCTATGTGGTGTCAGCCTCTTTCGTGCCATCTTCTATCAAATAATCCCGCTGGTATCTTTTCCGTCTTTAGAGGATATACGAGAATAAAAAGCTTCTATGTCGGCATTTTAAGTCGACCAAAAATTATCAAAGGTTATCTTCAAAGTTCATCTGTGTTGGATGAAGTCATTATGAAGCAAGTTTGAACTTTTCGAACTTTGCGTCGTGATTGTCAAAAGGTTGTTCATATATGAGTAAAAGGCCATGATCCTCGTTTATGGGTGTGTCATAGGTTAAGGATTGGTGTTTACGTTATTCGTTCACTGTGTCAAAACTATGATCTCTTTTGGCCTTTTTGTTTTGATGTTTGAAAGGCAGACCTATAGCCTGAGGCGACACTTGACAGAAGATATATTATCGTGGGAGCGCCACTCTTCCATGGGAGGATCTCAGCTTAGATATCTCAGCTACTAGATAAAAACAAACAGAAAAGACAGACTGGGCCTCCTGCCTTTAAATCTTGGGTTTTCTTCAGAATTTTCTTTTGTTGAAAATTGAAGCATTGGTTCTAAGGAGTCTTTGAAGAACAGGTTTCTGTCGCTATCAGGTGTGGCGTGGTTTATTGAGTAATCCTTTGAAGGCATCCAATACAGTTTCAGGGTGGCAAAACTGGATTTCAAAGTCGGTTTTCTGGTCTTTTAGTGTAGTAAGTTGAATCTATCAATGCAGTGGGCATATTGATATGTGTGAGGCAAAAATGTGATGTCGCTGCCGGAAACAGTTGCTTGTTTTGTATCGTGTGTTGGTTCTAGATATTTATGGGCGGTGCCAAAAAATAAATAAAGAGACGCCTCGTGTAGCTTGTTTTGGGGCTATTTCAAACACTGTAAGCTCAAAATGATGACGAAAATGTGCCTAGAAATGACAGTAGTAAATGTCAATATCAGACAGATTTCCTCATCCAGAATATTTTCCATTTTGCCGCCCAAAATTGCATTGGATGCCTTTAAAGTTCAAATAGATTGGTGTCTACCAACGGTGGTGAATTGAAATGATATTGCCAGTGATATGTTTGGTAACTTTCTTTTATTTTTCCACACGTTTTTTTTTACAGATCGGAGAAGGAGAGCTGTGGGCCCGCCACTGGGAGGACTCCAGGCTTACTTTACGAGCAAAGATGGCGGAACAGTAACTCGCGTCACTAGGCGTCATGTCTTCATGACCCGGACATGACTTCTTTATCAACGTTCTAATGTGCCACCCGCACTGACAGTTAACATCAATACTTAAAAGTGCTCAATGAAGTTTTTAGTGATTGAAAACCAGATTTTTCATCAGTCAATATTCTATTCACTTATCTACAATATTCTAGTCACTTATCTACATACTACGTTCGAGCAACACTATCCTATATGTATATGCATGTATGTCGACATTCTTGGATAGCACCCTGGGTTGATTGGGGGGGGGGTATAGGAAAATAAAGCACTCATCTTTAAGGGCTATATATCTACACTGTATGAAAGGCCCAAAATATGAACTATTGATGCAAATTGCTAATGTGGGGCGGTATGTACCAATATCATACAAACTACTAGTACCTCTATTTAGAACATTCCAGTTTACCACCCTGCTGAAATTGTATAGAAGTGTTAAGATTGGTGTTGTACAATAACCGAAGTTATTTTGGGAGTATTTATCGATGCCCATGAGATGTGGACTCTATTTATATCTTCTTTAGTTTTTCTGACATCCGTGTTATTTCTACAAAGGTTTATCTTAAATGTATCTTACTTATTGTTACTTCGCCAATAGATAATCAAGGGAAAGCATAGCACCTGGTACCTATATATTCTTGGAGTCAAATATAGCAACAGAATAAAATAGGAGATTTCTCGTCCAGAAGACGTATAAAGAGCATTGACGTATGTAGTTCTATTAAACTACACATGCTTAATTATCTATAGTGGTATTTTTCTTTACTAAATAAAGTGTTGGATTTTTTGTACTGTCTATCAACTGTCATCCTGATCTTCATTTTACTTACTGTAAATCCTTGATTAGTAGGTTCTGCAGAGTTGTTGACGTCATAATCTTATCAGGATAATCTCTTAATCACAATGTATCTTGATCATTCAAAAGGCTAACTGTGTGTTCTTTAGCATGTCCGGATTTATAGTCAAGCTTAGACATCCCAATTATGTTTGAATCTGACAGTGTCCTTAAGCCTATGAGCCCTTTCGTGTTCGTTAAAGGTACTCTCCAAGGACGGGTTTGGGCTTATGTTTGGCGTGTTTTAGGCTTTTAGGGGGTATTTCTGGTAATGGATTTTCTTTACCCTTGGGCTGGTGTAAAAAAAATCAAAAAGTCAAAAAAGAAAAGCCCTATAAAAACGCATAAAACACACCAAGAGGCAAATTGTACCAGAGCTTAAGCACTATTAGAGGGAGCACAACAAAAAAGGCACCACGTTTAGAGAAAAAAATAAAACAAGGACAACCAAAGCAACAACAACAACAAACAGAAGACCTGTTGTAGCTCTGTTTTAAACCAGGGAAACGCCTGTCTGTTCATTACATCGCCAGTCACCTGTAAACCTGATCCCAGACTCGCTCAATCTCAATTAGGCCGACATCGTTCTCACGAAGGCGACAATTACTCGGTCCATCCAACCTTAATTGATTGTGAGATGACACTGATGTCTCCTTTGACATGACACACGTCTGGTGATGCCCAACAGAACTAGAACCACCCGTGGTTTGAAGGGCAGACAACAAACTAAGACGTTTTAACTCAGAGATAACATCAGAAGGGCGGTTGGAGCTCTGATTCACCTATTTTACGCCCTGCTCATAAGCTCTGTCCTCAGCGACCCTTCTTAGAAAGTAGTGATTCAACTTCGTAAAAGAACAGGTAGTTACACTGTAGGCCAAAGCAAAACAATTCATGTGTTGTGTTCAATACTGTTGTATTTGTAGTGTCGTGGTCTGTAAATTTGTACCTTCGCAAAGAAGGTTATGTTTTTGAGGCGTCTCTCTCTCTCTCTGTTTCTCTCTCTCTCTCTCTCTCTGTGTTTGTGTGTGTGTGTATGTGTGTTTGTGTTTGTGTGTTTCTGTAAACACGATAAGTTGAAATGGATTGTCTAGGTTTTAAATAGGTGGGAAGGTCTTGATGACACCTCAAAATGATTAGATTTTGGTTCCCCTGGCGACTTGTTTTCTAATTAAAACGTTTGCATTGGTTCATATGGTACTATTAGCACTTATTCATATTTATATGTCTCCAAAGAAAAGGTGGGGTGTCATTGTAAACTTGTGAAAGTAAACACCTATATATATATCACGCATCGTTGAATACCAGGGGTGAACCCGTAGTAATGTTAGCCTTTGACCTGTAACATTGGCACAACTGCTCACAGACAGAATTGTACGTATCTATCTTTTTGTCACTACGTTTATCAAAATCATGTTTCTTCATTAATTGAAAAAATTATAATTTTTGGGGTCATAGCACACGAAAGGCATGGTCTAACAGGAAACCTAGTTGGAATTTCAAGGTTAGTTTGAAAGGGTAAAATTATATGAAAATTTAGAGATTAGTGAATAGTCAACGTTATCCGAGGTATACTTTAGGTTTTCATCCTAGATCGTCACGGAAATGCATACGTGGCCACCAGGCGTCTAAAAACACGATACACGCGGTGGATAATAATGTACCCTGGGCGTGGACGACTTAGGCGTGTTTTTGACGTGTCACTTGAACATTGTGTATACTACTGCGGTCACCTCTGTCATAGCTACAGTTACCTCCCAGACTACGTGCGTTATAACAAGTGTTCCTGGAGCGCAATTCTGACAGATTACTCTGATACTGCGTCTGTCAAGAGAAGAGAGAGAGATTTTGACTCTGTAACCAAAAGTGTTCCTGATTTAGTTTTTCAACGACGGATATTTGACGTGAAGATACAACAACGTGTGACAATGACCGGATCTACACTTCCTCCACTGATCGTCCTACTGTTTGCTATCCCAGGCTTCGGTGAGTGGCTTTTGTTCCTCTTGTTTTGTACTCTCATGTGATAACTTCGTCTACAGGACAGATGATATGATAATTTTGTTGATGAAATATATCTCGTTTAAAAATCTCACGTAAGGAGGGGTCTTAGTTGGCACCGTTCCTGTGGCACGCCCTGTTCCAAATTACCTGTACTAGTGAAGGTTTCTAGAGGTTAAAGAACGGGAAATCCTATGTTCTGAAGACTTCTTTTGCCTAGCTTTAAACATTTAAGGGTTTAAACCTAACATGGTTTAGAGTTTGGCCCTAAATTTACACCAGTATACTTATCCATGCGAAAAAAAAAAGGCTAGGCACAACTATACGATATGTGTGGTGAAACTTTGGGCTTACATTCCTCAGTGTGCATGTAATTAATTAGAAAATTAATATATCATATTCCCATCCCCGTTTTAAAGTTGGTTATGAAATCTACAACTGATATATTTTACACTGCTAAATTCACAGCTGGGAGGGATGTGGGAGCCGCCATGTTGCGATTAAAAATCAGGCATGTAAAATTGACCAATTAAAAGGGAGGGAACTTTTTACTGACAAATGCGTGCTTAAAAGAGTAAACGCCGCAGTGATAAATTGGTCGCACCACCAAAACGCTGTCAACTGTAATTTATCGACCTCGCCTTTAATATGTCCGCATAACGTATAGATACAGACACCTACGTACACAAAACTGACGTATGATTAGATGTATATAATGTATAAATTGCTTCTACTCTAAGCATGCAAAGGTACAAAAATTACACCCTGTTTAAACCTTTGAAGAATGACTTTATACTTGTGCCATGACCGGAAAAGTTAACGGTTGAAGAAACAAATTGGCACTGAATTCTCACGCGGTAATTTTGAGAACGTCTACAGATAATATATGTAGCTACGTGAACTTTTAAAGTGATACTCGACTAATACCTGTTTAAATTTAACGGTCACCCACTATTACTGTCAATTAAATAATATCTGCTAGCGCAGGCATCGAAATATCAAGGGCATAAATTCCAATTGACACTGTTATTAAGTTTTGTGACACTAGTATAGTTGAGAATGTTGTCGATGGTTATGTGCACATTGGTATTTTATCTTTTGAGGGATATGGTAATTTATAAATAGAGACAACGTAATGAGTCTCATACTCGTTTTAAATATGGCCGATTTGACAGGTTGCCCCCAGGTCATGAAGTAGACTAGTTCATTTTTCTGCGGGGGTGAAACTACTTGTTAGGCTTTCCTGTAAATATGATGATTACAGAGAACATGTATAATATAGAATATGTATAATATAGAATATCAAAATTTGTAAGTAAAGGGGAATTGATAGATATATGGAAGAATTATTGACAGTATATTTCAACATAAGAAATAAGCATTGAAGATATAAACAACTATTTCGAGTATGCTTTTTCTTATATAATCTTACAAAAGGGTGGTGTGACTTAACTATGTGGAACAGTTGTTCTTCTACCCTAGACAATGTTTTTCATTGTAAGACAATGTTGATTTGATTACATGGATGACATCCTCTGGGAACCACAAAACTGATGCGAGCGTGCGAATAAAAAGTTTGGCCCCTAAAAAAGTATACACAGAGTATGGTATGGCGAAAAATAGACTCTTCCTTTTCAAATTCGTCACGTTTTATTCTTTTTCTAAAGAAATATATCGTCATATATTTGCTCATTTTGCAGACGCTTTGTACGATCTACAGTGTGTTCAAAAGTTTTGTGGAAACAGACGAAAATTCAGACGATAAACGGACACAGGAGTCCACTGCAAATGTGATCCCCCTTCCCCCTTCTCATAGATAGCCCCCCCCCCCCGATGGAACAAAGAATGCCGTGTTCTTCTGTCTGATAAATAGCATGCGCCATATATCAGACAACGCGCCATAGCCAGAGGCTCAATGATCTTATCAATCCCTGCAGATAACAACCACTTGCTGCTCAGCATAGTTAGGAAAGCCTCTGACTTAGTGAATAATGTCAAGGGCACACCACACATGTTAACATAGAGCCCAGCTTAAGCATACTGCAACGTCAACAGTGTTTAACAAACCGTGCTCACACCTACAAGCTAACAGTACAAATTTATATTTCTATGAAATTCGACAAAATTTCGATTATGAAACATATCTGCTCTTACCTTTTTACCATTATTAAGAAGCGAGAAGAAATCGAATTCACTTATAATTGTAGTTTCTTGACAACGTTTATTATGTAACGATATCTGTATATATATTTATCTTCTTTCATTCTTTAATATCAGGACCAACCACCACATCAGTAGCCCAGACGACAGAGGCCCCTGTCCTGTGTTCCGCGGCGGTGCATTATTGCGAGGACCCCGCCTACCATGCCACCAGGATCCCCGGTGTCTGCATCAGGAAGCTGAACTGTAACGGATGCGCAGCACAGTACCGCGTGGCTAGAGCCACGTGTGAAGCCGAGGGGGCTTCACTTTTGACTCAGCTCACCGAAGAGAAATTTGAATTACTCGCGGAGGAAGACTATTACAACCTACAGGGGTCGTGGATAGGACTTGATGATATAGCTGTTGAGGGAACGTATGTGTGGAATGATGGTTCACCTTTGGGTTCATTTCGACCATTCCATCCGACTGTACCGAACGATGAGGAGACTGACTGTGTCATTGTCGGGAGGAACGTCGGTTCAGTATGGGCGCCGTACGACTGCAACAACAAAGTGCGGTACATCTGCCAAAAACGTAAGTTTTTTTTAATACTTTTCTCGTACCTGTTAAAGCAGGGTACGATTAGAACTGGCATGCCCCGTTTCCCATTCCCAGGATGCATAGCGCTTGGGGAGTAAAAATTCCCAGGTTGCATAGCGAAAGGGGTCGATATACAACATACTGTTTACATTACATAGCTTAAAATCTCAAATATAAGTACAGGTCGAATTCGGCACCAAACATTCTTGTGTTTTTAGTAAACGAATGTAAAGGAACACATGCTTCCGCCCTCCTGGCGCTATGCAGCCTGGGAATTTTTTTACCCCTGGCGCTATACATCTTGGGAAATGAAAATGGTCAGAATACAACACAAACTAGTAGGAAGACAAAAAAAAACACATAGACGTCTAATAAGGATACTAGTAATGATCCACGGATTCGCTATGGTGATAAGTAAGATTATGAACACATGACGACTTAAATGTGTCATCATAAATCCATGCAATCTAATATTTCGGAAACACACTGTGCTTTGGTACTGTACGTTGTACGCCGAAGAGATATAAATGAACTTCATAAAATTCATGAAATGTATGTTAAAGTCGTATAACGTTTTGTTGTTGCCGTGTGGTGATTAAATCAGATGTAAAAGGTTACTACTACAGTTTTTAGGACCGGTGCAACAGCCTTGGGGGTAGAGTGTTTACGTTGAATTACATTCGGAAGGTTGCTGACCAGGTAGGTCACACTAAGGACATGTTGATTTAATTATATGGATGCTATCCGGCGCGCAGGAATTTTCAGCCGTTTCAAAAAAAAAAAGACCATACTGTAAATCGTACAAAGCATCTTCAAAATGAACAAAGATATGCCGTATTGCAAAGAAATGAGAAAACGACATTAATGCCGTAGAATGTCAAAATCAATTTCAAAGTACAAGAGAAGAAAATGTGAAGAAATGAAAATGAAGAGTCTATACTACTTGCCATCCACACTTAACTCTTTGTTCAACCTTCATGACCACGTAGATTTCATAATGAATGCAACTTTCTGCCAGCCTTTTCTTATTCGCACGCTCGTATCAGTTTGAAGATTACCAGAGGATTCCCGATCCATTAAACCAAATCAACATGGCCTTAAGTCAATACACACTAGACATTCACTGGAGTCCCCTGGTGCAATGGTCTGTGTGGACAAAGGGCTATAGAAACAGAGATCGGCACTGCCCCTATACACCAAAATGTATACAATGACCTTGACTTTCTCAAACCAAGTGCAAACATTAACATTTATTTACAGCTTCGACATGTCCTAATGTCACGACCTCCCTAACAACTATTGCAAATTCGACGACTGAAAGGACAACGCCCGACACATCGACATTACAACCGACACCGCCGGCCAAGACAACAGACGCATCAACGACTAAGGTGACATCAGCAAAAACAAGTAAGTTGATTATGGTTAAACATATGCATGTGCATTATTGTATTCATTGGTTGATTTCTCAGAATCAAAGCCCCTGTCACACATTCAGAACATTCCCCCGAACACCAGCAGACCAAGGTTGCCTGAAGTTCGGGAGCAGTCTCAACACATCTAGGCCACGCCTACCTTTCAAGATGAATCGAATTGCATGCAATTGAGTTCAATTTGAGTCAAATTTCAATGCCATTCATACTGCGACCTACCTCCGTACACCACAAGCCAACCATGGTCGAACCTCCCTTCAACACCTTAATAGTGTTTAAAACATTCGGCCGTTGCATGCCGAACCAGGCAGAACACCAGGTTGGAGAGTTCGGCTAGTGTTCTGTAGGCTATATTCGGGTATGTGATAGGGGCTTGATTAAAGAGTGGCCCCTAGCCATCAGCTTGTCTTTAAACAAGCTTAGTACACAATAGCGGCACCATGGCGGCACCCCTTCCATTGACAGAGAAGAGTTCTCTGAAAATTCAGTAGCATCACTTGCTGGCACAAAATGGCAGATAGTAAAGTAGCCACGCGAGATAGTAAAGTAAAATAAGATGAAGAAACGACCCTTTTAAAATCATTTGGACATAATTTTTTTTACTACTGTCGACCAAACTACTACAGAAAGCTACTATTTTTACTTCTCCCATTCTCCCAAAAATTGTTGTTGACAAACAGGAATGCTAGCTTCCGTGATAGGCCCCAAACTTTGATGAGTCTTTGGGCTTCAGAGGCTGAGGCTTCATGTTTACTGTTGAACCTTGGGCTTCAAGTTCTAACAGAAAACAACACGGAACGCCAGCCAATCAGAGCGCCCGACAGGGACTTGCCGCCATATTTGCCTCGCGCACCAAAACCAACATGGCTGCCGCACCGTCCCGGTTGTTTGTTTGTTTGTTTGTTTGTTTGTTTGTTTGTTTTTATTTATTTAACCAGGGGGATACATATCGCCCGTGGGGCGTGGGTTGAAATTAGGGGAGGTGTGACAGGAAAGCTTAGTAAGTAAGGTGACAAGCAAAACGGTTGAAAATGAAAACCTTAGTTGACGGAAAACACTAAAAAGGTCCCAAGAGAACATGTGTACAGAGAAATGTTTGGGTGCATAATCATTACGTGAAGCCGCGTTCAAGAGGCACGGAAATTTGCACGAATCAGTCGTAAGTTACTACATCCATTTTTTCCTTATTGTAGCTCAGGATTAGGGCTAGAGCTAGTGTTAGGGTTAGGGTATATCCACACCGGAGTGTCAATAAGGAACAAAAAAATTATATCCACACCGGGTGTGTCAATAAGGACCAAAAACATTTCATATCCAAACCGGGTGAGTCAATAAGGAACAAAAAAAGTATATCCACACCGGGTGAGTCAATAAGGAACAAAAAACATTATATCCACACTGGGTGTGTCAATAAGGAAAACAATTTTTATATCCCCACTGGGTGTGTCAATGGCCACGTACCTTCTCATTACACTAAAATAGTAAAGTTTACGAAAAACTGTCATGATTACAGATACTATTGTCACTATTGTGTTAATGGTAGTTCCTACCACTAGTGTGAAACCTTTCTTTCTAGTTGTGTCGCGACAACAACTTCACCCTCTACAGTCCAGGCGACAGCTGTTGTTGAGACATCTGTTACAAGTGAATATGACAAACGATGAAACAACAGTTCCTCCTACAACCGCGATAACAACAGCTCCTCCTACAACCGTTAGCACAACAGCTCCTCCAACAACCATGGTAACAACAGGTCCTCCTACAACCGTTAGCACAACAGCTCCTCCTACAACCATGGTAACAACAGCTCCTCCAACAACCATAGTAACAACAGCTCCTCCCACAACCATGGTAACAACAGCTCCTCCAACAACCATGGTAACAACAGCTCCTCCAACAACCATAGTAACAACAGGTCCTCCTACAACCGTTAGCACAACAGCTCCTCCTACAACCATGGTAACAACAGCTCCTCCAACAACCATGATAACAACAGCTCCTCCAACAACCATGGTAACAACAGCTCCTCCAACAACCATGGTAACAACAGCTCCTCCTACAACCTTTAGCACAACAGCTCCTCCAACAGCCATGGTAACAACAGCTCCTCCAACAACCATGGTAACAACAGCTCCTCCTAAAACCTTAGTAACAACAGCTCCTCCAACAACCATGGTAACAACAGCTCCTCCTACAACCATAGTAACAACAGCTCCTCCCACAACAATCGAAACAACGGCTCCTCCAACAACCGTAATAACAACGGCTCCTCCAACAACAATCGAAACAACAGCTCCTTCAACAACCATAATAACAACGGCTCCTCCAACAACAATCGAAACAACGGCTCCTCCAACAACCGTAATAACAACAGCTCCTCCCACAACAATCGAAACAACGGCTCCTCCAACAACAGTCATAACAACAGCTCCTCCCACAACAATCGAAACAACGGCTCCTCCAACAACCGTAATAACAACGGCTCCTCCAACAACAATCGAAACAACAGCTCCTCCAACAACCGTAATAACAACAGCTCCTCCAACAACAATCGAAACAACAGCTCCTCCAACAACCGTAATAACAACGGCTCCTCCAACAACAATCGAAACAACAGCTCCTCCAACAACCATAGTAACAACAGCTCCTCCCACAACGGTTAAAACAACAGCTCCTCCAACAACCGTCATAACAACGGCTCCTCCAACAACCGTCATAACAACGGCTCCTCCAACAACCACAATAACAACGGCTCCTCCAACAACCGTTCAAACAACAGCTCCTCCTACAACCCTAATAACAACAGCCCCTCCCACAACAATCGAAACAACAGCTCCTCCAACAACCGTTCAAACAACGGCTCCTCCCTCAACCATGATAACAACAGTCCCCCCAACAACGGCAAAAACAACAGCTCCTCTCACAACCGTAATAACAACAACTCCTCCCACAACAGTCGAAACAACAGCTCCTCCAACAACAGTCATAACGACAGCTCCTCTTACAACAGCCATAACAACGGCTCCTAAAACAACCACAATAACAACGGCTCCTCCAACAACCACAATAACAACGGCTCCTCCAACAACCGCAATAACAACGGCTCCTCCAACAACCGCAATAACAACGGCTCCTCCCACGACCACAATAACAACGGCTCCTCCAACAACCGTTCAAACAACAGCTCCTCCTACAACCCTAATAACAACAGCCCCTCCCACAACAATCGAAACAACAGCTCCTCCAACAACCGTTCAAACAACGGCTCCTCCCTCAACCATGATAACAACAGTCCCCCCAACAACGGCAAAAACAACAGCTCCTCTCACAACCGTAATAACAACGACTCCTCCAACAACATTCGAAACAACAGCTCTCCCAACAACGGCAATAACAACAGCTCCTCCAACAACGGTTAAAACAACGGCCCCTCCCACAACCGTCGAGACAACAGCTCTTACTACAACCGCAATAACAACGGCTCCTTCCACAACAGTCGAGACAACAGCTCTTACTACAACCGCAATAACAACGACTCCTCCCACAACAGTCGAGACAACAGCTCTTACTACAACCGCAATAACAACGGCTTCTCCCACAACAGTCGAGACAACCGTTCCTTCAACAACTGTTATAACAACAGCTCCTTCAACAACTGTCGTAACAACAGCTCCACCGACGACAGTTGAAACAACCGCTCCACCAACAACCATTGTCACAACAGTCCCAACAACTATCATAACAACAGTCCCACCCACAACCGTAGAAACAACAGGTCCTCCTACAACTATTGAAACAACAGCCCCACTAACGACTATTGAAACAACAGCGTCTTCCACAACAATTGTAACAACAGCTCCTCCCACAACTACTGAAACAACAGCACCTGCCACAACCGTTGTAACAACAGTCCAACCAACCACTGTTAAAACAACAGCTCTTACAACTGTCCAAACAACAGAATGTCCAACCTGTCCTACAACTGTCCAAACATCAATTGAAACAACATTTCCGCCTACAACTGCTAAAACAACAACTCCCCCCACAACTGTTGAAACCACGGCTCCATCCACAACTGTCGTAACAACAGCCCCACCAACGACTACTGAAACAACAGCTCCTCCTACAACTACCGAAACAACAGCCCCACTAACTTCTATCAAAACAACAGTTGTAACAACGGGGCAGCCAACGACTACTGAAACAACAGCTCCTCCTACAACTACCGAAACAACAGCCCCCCCACAACTGCTTTAACAACAGCTCCCCCCACAACTACTAAAACAACAGCCCCATCAACCACTATTGAAACAACCGTCGTAACGACAGCCCCGCCAACGACTATTGTCACAACAGTTGAAACAACAGCTATACCCACAACCATCGTAACAACAGCCCCACCAACGACTACTGAAACAACAGCCCCTCCCACAACCGATGTCACAACAGCCTTACCAACGACTATTGAAACAACAGCCCCTCCCACAACTGTTACAACAGCTTCACTCACAACTACCGAGACAACAACCTCCCTTACCACCGGTAAGACCACACAAATTTCAACACTTTCAACGTTCGTACTACTAAATATAAAAGTGCACCCTTCACTGTTAACGAAACAGCTTTTCACATTGCTTCACACCATTAGCATATATCGCTTCTCAATATCAACCCAATGCTTCACGTTAATACGTTAAACAGCTTCACAAACGCCGAGATGACAACATAACCCACTACTGTTGGAATAACGGCGCATCCGACCACCTACCTGACCACGTCTTCACGTACACACTTCAGTCGGGACAACTGTATTGCCAACAAAGCAGCTCTTTCGGCGACTGTGATGACAACCAAACCATTTCATGGCGTCTACAATACACGCCATGCTCCTGCAGCTACGGCTTGCCTATATTTAACACTTCACATGCTCCAATTACTATTAGAGGCAGAAGGTTGCTCGGTGTTGCTTTGATTATCATAGTTTACACTGGCAGCACTGCGTATCACCGGTTACTTAGGAATTCGTACTAAAACTTGCAATTCTCAGTTTCTCTCTTGTCTTCTGTTTGATTTACTATTACCTTATCATGATATAATTTGATTTATTACATCTGCAAATGCAATGTTCAATGAAATCATGTTATTTACATATCATCTTTTAGTTGTGCAATGCCTTCAGAAATTCCTGTTGTGTTTTGTTCTTTGTCTATACTTGATTGACATTTTCGTTTGAAATGTTGCTACTGTTTCTTGATATTATCATGTTGTTGTTTTTTTATTCATAAGTGGATTCTGCAAAATTCCTGTTCGCGAACTTTGCATCTTATGTTTGGTATTGTCATGCGATATGTTAGATAAATATTGCAGCCAAATCTAAGATATACTTACATTTCCAAGTTAAGAGATGATGCTTCTGTCATGCGATTGTAATATTCATGTTGCCATGTCATAACTGCTCTACTGTAACAATTGTAATCTCTGTGTGTAACAGTTTCAATATTTTCCTTATCCATGATATCATATGTTCTGCCTCACGTGCCCGATTGAGCCACGGCCTACATGTACCACCTCCACCTTTGGACCATCCACAACATCCTTGGACCATCGGGGCACTCTGATACCGCGTTTAGCCGTTTGGCGCCACAAAAGTGGTTGACGTATTTTCATGCCTTTCGAAGAGGTTGTACAGTCCATGGCCAAGCAGTTTGTTTATAAAAAAAAAAGACAAAACATTATGTTCTACCAACCTCATGAAATTATTTTCGGAACACTAAAACCTCTCCGCCATGTTTTGCCCTTACAGTGCATTTAGCACCACGCGTGCACCATGGAGGATGGTTGATGCTATATTTAATGCAGAATACAGCAACATATCTGAAAATGTCGGAGATAACCCTCACCCATTCACGGATCTTCAGTAAAATAAGGAAATTGAGTAAAGCTAGTCCATCTGTCACACTAAGTACAGCAGACGACCCCAGTGTTTGGTGCTAAAGACTCTTTGCAAAATCTACAGTCATGGACCATTTAACTTCATCGAAAGATGTCAAAATTCGTCAGACATCAGCAACTACACATCCTTCCATCAAGTTTCATACTTTTGTGAAATAGGTGATGCGTTAAAGACTGCCAAACGATTGATCGCGGTGTTAGGGTGCTCTGGATAAGTCTAAGGGTGTTGTTTTTTTGCAGAAAGTCCAAAGGTGTGAGAGGTGTGCGCTTGTGTTTCAAAGGTGCGCCGATATAGGGACTATTAGCATCCGATAGGGAATAGGGTAATCAACGTCTTTTATTACCTTCACCATTCTTTATTATTGACTTACAACAGCCCAGCCGACTACCGTGGAGACAACAGTTCCGTCCACTACAACAGAGACTACAGCTCCACCCACGACTATCAAGACAACACATATGCTCACTACCGACAAAACAACAACCATGATGACTACTGGTAAGGCAAAGGCTGTTACTTCCCTTGAGACAGCCTTGTCTACTGTTAACCTCCTTCCCATTCCTACTTGTAGATATGGCTCAACCATCACTGTATGCGCAAGAGGATATACATAAACCGGTCTCTGTATTATTGATTACACTTTTTCAATGCTTTTTTGTCCTCCTTACTAAGTAACGGCAACAGCTGCATGCAGTCAATATAATTAGAATCCGGACAGTGATTTCCCTATCTATAACACTTAAGTAGCAAACTAGAGAGTAGCACCATAGAAACATAGGCACCACCATAGCTAAATAATTAGTTGTCGGACATAGACATAACAGAGAAAGAGATTTCTTATTCCTGTCGGAGACATCTCAAAAGATAAAGAGGTACCAGTTTCTCCCACAGCAGAGACAACAATCATTGAAACAACGGCTGACTCAACTACTACCGCAACTGCCACTTCCGAAACCACAGCCTCTCTATCTTCTGTTGAGACAACGGCCCCACCAACTAGCACTATACAAACAACAGTTCTTACCAAAACCACAGAAGTTCCGACTACTATTTACACAACAGCACCTAACACTACTATGGAAACAACAAGTCCGGCTACGACTACCATCCAAACAACAGCCCCTTACACTACATTTGAGACAACAGTTAATCCAACTACCACAAAAACTAGAGTCCCTCTTACAACTATCAGAACAACAATCAATCCCAAAACGATAGAAACAACAGCCCCATTAACTACAATAAAAACAACAGCTCCTCCTTCTACTATCCAAACAACAGCTCCTCCTTCTACAACCCAAACAACAGCTTCACCCTCTACCATCCAAACAACAGCTTCACCCTCTACCATCCAAACAACACCTTCACCCTCTACCATCCAAACAACAGTTCCTCCTTCTACCATCCAAACAACAGCTCCTCCCTCTACCATCCAAACAACAGTTCCTCCTTCTACCATCCAAACAACAGCTCCTCCTTCTACCATCCAAACAACAGCACCTCCCTCTACCATCCAAACAACAGCTCCTCCTCCTACCGTCCAAACAACAGCTCCCCATTCTACCATCCGAACAACAACACCTGCTACAACAGTTGTAACAACAGTCCCACCAACGACTACAAAAACTACAGCTCTTACAACTGTCCAAACAACAGAATGTCCAACATGTCTAACAACTGTCCAAACATCAATTGAAACAACATTTCCCCCTACAACTGCTAAAACAACAGATCTCCAAACAACTATGGAAACCACAGTTCCACCCACAACCATGGAAACAACAGCTCCGCCTTCTACCATCGAAACAACAGTTCCTCCCTCTACCATCCAAACAACAGCTCCACCTTCTACCATCCAAACAACAGCTCCTCCTTCTACCATCCAAACAACAGTCCTCCCTCTACCATCCAAACAACAGCTCCTCCTTCTACCATCGTAACAACAGCCCCTCCGTCTACCATCAAAACAACAGCTCCTCCCTCTACCATCATACCTTCTCCTTCTACTATCCAAACAACAGCTCCTCCCTCTACCATCCAAACAACAGCTCCTCCCTCTACCATGCAAACAACAGCTCCATTTTCTACTATCGAAACTACAGCTCCTACTTCTACCATCTTAACAACAGCTCCTCCCTCTACCATCCAAACAACAGCTCCATCTTCTACTATCGAAACAACAACTCCTCCCTCTACCATCCAAACAACAGTTCCTCCTTCTACCATCCAAACAACAGTTCCTCCCTCTACCATCCAAACAACAGCTCCATCTTCTACTATCGAAACAACAGTTCATCCCTCTACCATCCAAACAACAGCTCCTCCTTCTACCATCCAAACAACAGCTCCTCCTTCTACCATCCAAACAACAGTTCCTCCCTCTACCATCCAAACAACAGCTCCTCCTTCTACCATCCAAACTACAGCTCCTCCTTCTACCATCCAAACAACAGTTCCTCCTTCTACCATCCAAACTACAGCTCCTCCTTCTACCATCCAAACAACAGCTCCTCCTTCTACCATCCAAACAACAGTTCCTCCCTCTACCATCCAAACAACAGTTACTCCGTCAACCATCCAAACAACAGATCCTCCTTCTACCATCCAAACAACAGCTCCTCCCTCTACCATAAAAACTACAGCTCGTCCTTCTACCATCCAAACAACAGTTCCTCCTTCTACCATCCAATCAACAGCTCCTCCTTCTACCATCCAAACAACAGTTCCTCCCTCTACCATCCAAACAGCAGCTCCTCCTTCTACCATCCAAACTACAACTCGTCCTTCTACCATCCAAACAACAGTTCCTCCTTCTACCGTCCAAACAACAGACCCTTCTTCTACCATCCAAACAACAGCTCATCTTTCTACCATCGTAACAACAGCCCCTCCGTCTACCATCAAAACAACAGCTCCTCCCTCTACCATCATACCTTCTCCTTCTACTATCCAAACAACAGCTCCTCCCTCTACCATCGAAACAACAGCTCCTCCTTCTACCATCGAAACAACAGCTCTACCTACCACTATTCAAACAACAGATCCCCCGACTACTATCCAAACAACAGTTCCTCCAGCTACTACTATTCAAACAACATCTTTATTTACTACTATGGAAACGACAGTTCCTTCTTCACCTTTTCACACAACATATCCCTTTACTACCATCAAAACAACAACACATCCTACTACAATCCAAACATCCGTCCCGACCAGTTATATAATCCATACAACAGCCTCTTTCACGACATTGGAGACAACTGCAACTCTAACTACTATCCGAGCAACCACCTTTCCTACAATCCAAACAACAACCCTTCCCAATACTATCCAAACAACAGTTCCGCCCACAACAACACCAACCACTGCTTATAAGACAACATCTCCCTTTACATCTGCTCAGACAACGGCTCTTCCAACAACGGGTAAGATAGTAGAAATCGAGCTGGCTATATTGGTAGACAAGACACAGTATCTCCTCACTACCTTTGGCACAATTACACCCCTTCCTCCACTGCATTTTAAACATTAGAGTCACCTGCCAGCAAGTTCAGATTTACCTCAGAATAGTTATTAGAGCACTAGCCAGAGCAGAGCAGAGCAGCGCACTTATTTGCTATAAAGAGACAGTATTAATATAAAACAGTCAAAATAATTATTAAATATTGTTGTTATAAATTTTATCTTTTTTCCTACTACCAACAGTTGAGACTACAATTGAGACAACACCTCCTCCAACAACGGCCAAGACAACAACCGAAGTTACCACTGGTAAGACAACAAATTCATTCTGATTTCTTTATTCCATTACATCTATGAAATCTGAACCTATAAGAGTACAATTGCTAAACCTTGGCGTGTTGAATAGCTCTAAAATACAACAATCTATGCCAGTGGTCAGCCCTTTCTTGTCAACGTATTTTGCAAATTCGGGCCCTAAAGAGTAAAAAAAAACTGCCATCTGCAACTCCAATCCAATCTCCAATATAAAACAAAACAACGACTTGTCCTGGCATTCCATACAAAGCTTGGCAATTTACCAATTTACCGAGATTAAAGCTTAAGTTGTTGTTTCCTTCAAAAAATATGGGAAATACAGTAACTGTCGCTTAAAGTGCTAACGCACGTTTTGCAAAGAGCGTAAAGAAAAGACAAGTGCTAGTACCGGCAAAATCATTTCCGGATTCCTGTGGTCAGGGTTAGACAAAAATATAGTTTAAAGAACGGTTAATTCAAACTACAGCCCTGTCCAAAATTACACTAACAACAGCTAATCCCAGGACCCTCCCAACAACAGTCCGACCCACAACCATTCAAACAACAGTCGGCTCAACAAACATCCAAACATCTACCCATCCTACAAACACCGGAACAACAGCTCCATCTACAACTTTTGCATCTACAGCCCCATCCACAACCATTCAAACAACAGTCCCTCCCACTACTGCCCAAACAACAGCTCCATCCACAACTCTTGCATCTACAGCCCCATCCACTACCATCCAAACTACAGCCTCTCCTACTACTGCCCAAACAACAGCTCCATCCACAACTCTTGCATCTACAGCCACACCCACAACCATCCAAACAGCCGATACTACTACTGCCCAAACAACAGCTCCATCCACAACTCTTGGTACTACAGCCCCATCCACTACCATCCAAACTACAGCCTCTCCTACTACTGCCCAAACAACAGCTCCATCCACAACTCTTGCATCTACAGCCCCATCTACAACCATTCAAACAACAGTCCCTCCCACTACTGCCCAAACAACAGCTCCATCCACAACTCTTGGTACTACAGCCCCATCCACTACCATCCAAACTACAGCCTCTCCTACTACTGCCCAAACAACAGCTCCATCCACAACTCTCGCAACTACAGCCCCATCCACAACCATCCAAACAACATCCCCTCCTACTACTACTACCCATACAACAGCTTCATCCACAACTCTTGCATCTACAGCACCACCCACTACCATCCAAACTACAACCTCTCCTACTACTGCCCAAACAACAGCTCCATCCACAACACTTGTATCTACAGCCACATCCACTACCATCCAAACAACAGCCGATACTACTACTGCCCAAACAACTGTCCGATCTACAACTCTTGCAACTACAGCCCCATCTACAACCATCCAAACAACATCCTCTCCTACTACTGCCCAAACAACATCTCCATCCACAACACTTGCATCTACAGCCCCATCCACTACCATCCAAACAACATCCTCTCCTACTACTGCCCAAACAACAGCTCCATCCACAACTCTCGCAACTACAGCCCCATCCACTACCATCCAAACAACATCCCCTCCTACTACTGCCCAAACTACAGCCCCATCCACTACCATCCAAACAACTGCCGATACTACTACTGCCCAAACAACAGCTCCTTCCACAACTCTTGAAACTACAGCCCCATCCACTACCATCCAAACAACTGCCGACACTACTACTGCCCAAACAACAGTCCCTCCTACTACTGCCAAAACAACAGCTCTATCCGAAACTCTCGCAACTACAACCCCATCCACAACCATCCGAACAACAGTCCCTCCTACTACTGCCCAAACAACAGTTCTGGACGGAACAACAACTCTTGGTACTACAGCCCCATCCACTACCATCCAAACAACATTTCCTCCCACTACAACCCAAACAATAGCTCCATCCACAACTCTTCCAACTACAGCCCCATCCACTACCATCCAAACAACAGCCGATACTACTATTGCCAAAACAACAGCTCCTTCCACTACTCTTGAAACTACAGCCCCATCCACTACCATCCAAACAACTGCCGATACTACTACTGCCCAAACAACAGTCCCTCCTACTACTGCCAAAACAACAGCTCCATCCGAAACTCTTGCAACTACAGCCCCATCCACTACCATCCAAACTACAGCCTCTCCTACTACTGCCCAAACAACATCTCCATCCACATCTCTTGCATCTACAGCCCCACCCACTACCATACAAACAACAGTCGATACTAGTACTGCCCAAACAACTGTTCAATCTACAACTCTTGCAAATACAGCACCACGCACTACCATCCGAACAGCCGATACTACTACTCCCCAAACGACAGCTCCATCAACAACTCTTGCAACTACAGCACCATCCACTACAATCCAAACAACAGCCGATACTACTACTGCCCAAACAACTGTCCAATCTACAACTCTTGCAACTACAGCCCCATCCACAACCATCCAAACAACATCCTCTCCTACTACCGCCCAAACAACAGCTCCATCCACAACTCTTGGTACTACAGCCCCATCCACTACCATCCAAACAACTGCCGATACTACTACTGCCCAAACAACAGTCCCTCCTACTACTGCCAAAACAACACCTCCATCCACAACTCTTGCAACTACAGCCCCATCCACTACCATCCAAACAACAGCCGATACTACTACTGCCCAAACAACAGCTCCATCCACAACACTTGCATCTACAGCACCATCCACAACCATTCAAACAACAGTCCCTCCTACTACTGCCCAAACAACAGATCTGGACAGAGCAACAACTCTTGGTACTACAGCCCCATCCACTACCATCCAAACAACATTTCCTCCCACTACTACCCAAACAACATCTCCATCCACAACTCTTGCAACTACAGCCCCATCCACTACCATCCAAACTACAGCCTCTCCTACTACTGCCCAAACAACATCTCCATCCACATCTCTTGCATCTAAAGCCCCACCCACTACCATACAAACAACAGTCGATATTAGTACTGCCCAAATAACTGTCCAATCTACAACTCTTGCAACTACAGCACCATCCACTACCATCCAAACAACATCCGATACTACTACTGCCCAAACAACTGTCCAATCTACAACTCTTGCAACTACAGCACCATCCACTACCATCCAAACAACAGCCGATACTACTACTGCCCTAACAACTGTCCAATCTACAACTCTTGCAACTACAGCCCCATCCACTACCATCCAAACAACATCCCCTACCTACTACTGCCCAAACAACACCCCCGTCCACAACACTTGCATCTACAGCACCATCCACAACCATCCAAACAGCCGATACTATTACTGCCCAAACAACAGTCCCTCCTACTACTGCCCAAACAACAGCTTCATCCACATTTCTTGCAACTACAGCCCCATCCACAACCATCCAAACAGCCGATACTACTAATGCCGAAACAACTGTCGAATCCACAACTCTTGCAACTACAGCCCCATCCACAACCATCCAAACAACATCCCCTCCTACTACTGCCCAAACAACACCTCCGTCCACAACTCTTGCAACTACAGACCCACCCACTACCACCCAAACAACAGCCAATACCACTACTGTCCAAACAACTGTCGAATCCACAACTCTTGCAACTACAGACCCACCCACTACCACCCAAACAACAGCCGATTCTACTACTGACCAAACAACTGTCGAATCCACAACTCTTGCAACTACAGCCCCACCCACTACCATCCAAACAACATCCCCTCCTACTACTGCCCAAACAACACCTCCATCAACAACTCTTGTAACAACTCCATCCACAGCAATTCAAACAACAGACCAACTAACTCCAATGGAAACAACAGCTATTCAAACAACATTTCCATTCACTACTATCAAAGCATCTGGTAAGATAAGAGATGCCTGTGTTGTAGATACCTGCTCACATGAATACAATTCCCCCTACCCTCCTTTTCTATTGCATTGTAGACTTTAGCATCGCCTGATAAAATGCGCAGAACTACAGAGCACTAGTATTTTGGTAGTTAATCTTTTATTTATTATTAGTCGATTGCAATTTGTGTACAGTTAAAAACAACAGTACTCTAAATATTGCTGTTATAACCTTTTCCTTTTTTTCTACTACCAATAGCTCCCCCCACCACTAAAATAACCGCCCAACCTACCACGATCGTGACAACACCTCCTGCAACAACTGCCAAGGCAACAACCCAAGTTACCACTGGTAAGGCAAAACTTGCATCCTTAATATCTTTTCTTCCAACATTACTAAGAAATGTTGTTTAAAAATTAATACCACAGTATGGTATTCCTGAATCTCGGCATGCTGAATTAATGATGTTCAATAATCTATGACACTGTATTTTGCTGTCTTGGTAAGATATATTTCATATAAAATGACCCTATTAAAAAGGACAACTTAGATACAATCATGAAAACAATGACTGATCCCGACATGTCATACAGATAAGATATATATTAGGCTCCTTACTTTAAAGCACTTAACGTATGTTCTATACCACTTCGTGGCAAATGTGAATTGTTCTTAAAGCTGACAAAGGCACGTTTTTACAAAGAGCGTGCAGAAAAAACAACAGGCCCATCCACAACAATGACAACAACAGCTCCATCCACAACCATACAAACAACATTCCCATCAACAACCACACAAACAACAGTCCCATCAACAACCATAAAAACATCAGCCTTACCCACAACCATGGAAACAACAGCCCCGCCCACAACCATGGAAACAACAGCCCCACCCACAACCATGGAAACAAAAGCCCCGCCCACAACCATGGAAACAACAGCCCCACCAACAACTATACAAACATCAGCTCCATCCACAACCATGGAAACATCAGCTCCATCTACAACCATACAAACAACATTCCCATTAACAACCATTCAAACAACAGACCAATCCACAACCATGAAAACAACAGCCCCACCCACAACCATGAAAACAACAGCCCCACACACAACCATGGAAACAACAGCCCCACCCACAACCATGGAAACAACAGCCCCACCCACAACCCTGGAAACAACAGCTCCACCCACAACCATACAGACAACATTCTCATTAACAACCATTCAAACAACTGTCCCATCCACAACCATGGAAACAACAGCCTTACCCACAACCATGGAAACAACAGCCCCACCCACAACCATGGAAACATCAGCCCCATCCACAACCATGGAAACAACAGCCTTACTCACAACCATGGAAACAACAGCCCCATCCACAAACATGGAAACTACAGCCTCACCGACATCAGTACGACCCACTATCAGAACAACAGCTCTAGTTACTACCATTCACTCAACATCCACCTATACAACAGCTCCATCAACAACTATCCAAACAACTGCCCCACCTACTACTGTTCAGATAACATCTTCCTATACATCTGCTCGTACGACGGCTCCTCTTACAACTGGTGAGATTTAACTGTACACAAGAACTAGTGGTTCCCTACACTGCACTCTAAACCGTAGTATCACCTGCCAGCATGTCCAGAACCAACTCAGAATAGTGGCATAGAGGCAAGAGCACTTAGTCTAGAAGTTTTGATATTTAATTCTTTTTCATTATAAACAGTCAATGGCCATTCTTTTTCAGAATGCCAATTTACAAACTTATGTAGATAAAGTGACGTTGTTTTTCTCCTACCGACAGGTCCCACTACCACTAAAATTACAGTCCCGCCTACCACGGTTGAAACAACGCCAAAGGCAACAACCAAAGTTACAACTGGTAAGATCTCCTGATTATTTTCTTTGATGTTAAAATGGAATCCTGTATTATACAATTGTGAAATATTGCTTATTAGTAACCTTAACTCGATGTACAACATAATGTCAAAGATCGACTTCCATTAAGAAACAGTCATACTCACTAAAACAATTCATTCATGTCATGCTGGCCATGAAAGCTAAGACTGGAACATTAGCCTGCCCACCATACCATAGTATACCCTTCTCTTGTGCTGCACGAAAGGTAGCTTTTTCAAGAACTGTTCAAACTATTTTCGCCTCAATTCACCGTATAGCTTTGCTGTTATCAATATATTCGCTAGAATAGGGATAGCAGCTCTAGATTATTCAACATTTCTATTTTCACACTGGCATNAAACAATTCATTCATGTCATGCTGGCCATGAAAGCTAAGACGGAACATTAGCCTGCCCACCATACCATAGTATACCCGTCTCTTGTGCTGCACGAAAGGTTAGCTTTTTCAAGAACTGTTCAAACTATTTTCGCCTCAATTCACCGTATTAGCTTTGCTGTTATCAATATATTCGCTAGAATAGGGATAGCAGCTCTAGATTATTCAACATTTCTATTTTTCACACTGCCATACAAACGACAGTTCCTCCCACTACAATGGAGACAACAACTCCACCTCCTACGGTGGAAACAACAGCCCAACTCATATCCATTGAGTCTACAGCACCTACAACGACCATTCAGACAACCAAACCTTTAACTAGCATTCAGACAACAGCTCTTCCCACAACAATCCAAACAACAGCTCTTCCCACAACAATTCAAACAACAGCTCTTCCCACAACAATCCAAACAACAGCTCTTCCCACAACAATTCAAACAACAGCTCTTCCCACAGCAATCCAAACAACAGCTCTTCCCACAGCAATCCAAACAACAGCTCCTCCCACAACAATTCAAACAACAGCTCTTCCCACAACAATACAAACAACAGCTCCTCCAACAACAATCCAAACAACAGCTCCTCCCACAACAATCCAAACAACAGCTCTTCCCACAACAATACAAACAACACTCCTCCAACAACAATCCAAACAACAGCTCCTCCAACAACAATCCAAACAACAGCTCCTCCCACAACAATACGAACAACTCTTCCCACAACAATCCAAACAACAGCTCCTCTCACAACAATTCAAACAACAGCTCCTCCGACAACAATTCAAACAACAGCTCCTCCAACAACAATTCAAACAACAGCTCCTCCAACAACAATTCAAACAACAGCTCCTCCAACAACAATTCAAACAACAGCTCCTCCCACAACAATCCAAACAACGGCTCTTCCCACAACAATTCAAACAACGGCTCCTCCCACAACAATCCAAACAACAGCTCCTCCCACAACAATCCAAACAACAGCTCCTCCAATAACAATCCAAACAACAGCTCTTCCCACAACAATCCAAACAACAGCTCCTTCCACAACACTTCAAACAACACCTCCTCTAACAACAATGCAAACAACTCTTCCCACAACAATCCAAACAACAGCTCCTCCCACAACAATCCAAACAACTGTTACAGCTCTACCCACAACAATCCAAACAACAGCTTCAGCCTCAACTATCGAAACGGGTCCACCCACAAGCATCGAAACTACAGATCCACCCACAACAATCGACACTACAATTCAGCCCACAACTATCGAGACAACAGGTCAGCCCACAACTATCGAGACAACAGCCACACCATCTACCGCCGAGACAACAACTCGATTAAGTACAATCGAGACAACCAGTGGTGAGGCAACAACAGTCCCTTATAAGTACAAACAATACTTTTCTCTAACAATTTTACACAGTACAGATAATATATTGTTTCCCTCATATCTTTTATAACAGCCCCATTGACCACAGAGACACCTCCTTCTACGACCATCGAAACAACAGCTCCATCTACAACTGTTGAGACAACGGCCCCACTAACAACTATGAAGACAACGACTCCACCCACAAGTATCGAGACCACAGCGCAGCCCACAACTGTTGAAACAACAGTTCAGCCTACAACTATCCACACGACAGCCCCTTCAACAACATTTGAGACAACAACTCTTCCAACAACTATTGAAACAACAGCTCCACCAACAACAATCGAGACTACAGTGTTGCCCACAACAGCGGAGACAACAGTTCCGCCAACAACTGTAGAAACAACAGCTCAACCTACAACAATCGAGACAACACCCCCTCCAACAACAATTGAGACAACCGCTCTACCAACAACAATCGAGACAACACCCCCTCCAACAACAATTGAGACAACCGCTCTACCAACAACAATCGAGACAACAGCTTCATTCACAACTGTCAAGACAACAGCTCCACTAACAACTATAGAGACAACGGCAATTGAGAACAACAGCCCAACCAACAACCATTGCAACAACTTCTCCACTCTCTACTATCCTGACAACCACCTTCCTAAGCACAGGTAAGAAATCAGAGGTTCTTTGTACTTCTTCTGAAGGCTGTTTTACTTAACAGCGCTTTCAACGTGTATTAATAAAATATCTCGGTAACAGTTTTTGATACAACAAATTCCGCCAACAGCCCCACCAACCACGATCAAGACAACGGCGCCACTCACTACTTTGAAGACAACAGATGATACAACGCATCTTACTACTGGTAAGGGTAGTAATAGATCTCAAAATCATTACAGAGAGAAACATTTCTGACACCGTTGAAATTTTCGCAACATTGTTGACTAATGATAACTTTAACCGACCACTTTCATTCCTACTACCATTGTAAAAATAGCTTCGGCCACTACGATGGGGACAACAGATCAATCCACTACCTTCCAAACAACACCTGCTCATACCACTGTTCAGGCAACCTCTCCTTCTACTATTGGGACAACATTCCCTTCTACAACTGCTATAAAAACATCAGCTCCCACTACTTTTAAGACAACGGCCCCTCCTACTACTATTATTAGAACTACAGCCTATACAACAACGATGAAGACAACAATGCTTCCGACCTCTATCAAGACAACAGCATATGAATCTACAAAAGAGACAACGGGCCCTCCTACTACCATTGGGACAGCGGCCCCTTCCACAACTGCTATGGAAACAACATCACCCCCCTCTACTATTGAGACAACGGCCCCTCCTACTACAGTTATTAGAACTACAACCTATCAAACAACAATGGAGACAACAATGCCTCCTGCCTCCCTTAAAACTAACAGTAAAAGAATCTACCATAGAGAGAACAGGCCCTCCTACTTCCATTAGGACAACGCCATCTCCTAGTACTATTGAGACCACAACCCATTTTACGACTATTGAAACAACAGCCTTCAGGACTACGCTTAAGAAAACAGCACCTCCAACTACTCTAACGACAAGAGCTTATCCAACAACAATAGAGACAACATTCCCTCCCACTACTACTGAAACCACATCCCCACCTACGTCTATTGAGGCAACATCATACCCAACTACTATGGAGATAACATCCCATCCAACTACTATCAAGTCAACAGCCTCTCCTACTATCTCAACAACAGTCTCTCCTACTACCGTTCAGACAACAACCCCTCACACTACTATCCAGATAACATCTCTACCTACTTCTATAGAAACAACCTTAAATCTAAGTACTATAGAGACAACAGCCCATTTAACCACTATTGAGACAACAACTGCTCCAATTACTATCAAGACGACACCTACACCTACAACCTCTCCAACCTCCATCCAGACAACAGGCCCGACTACTTCTGTCACCACAACAATTCTACAGACCACTGGTATGAAAACAGCTGCCCCACAGTCAAGATGAAAGTTAACCTCACTAGCTCCAAGGTTATTACAGCTTTCACAGTGCACTGCATCCAAGGTTGTAGCCCCCACTGCAGTCGAAGCAATAGTTTCCAGGTCACCACCGCTGTTGAGGCAATAGTTATTTGCACAGTAGTTAGCATATAGGGGTTAGTATCCATAGTTACTCCTGCAATGCACTATACCTTCACAATGAATAAATCTAATTGCTATATTTAGGTAGAAATGACAACCCTCTTGACTAGACTATAGTCGATAAAGAATAACAAATGTACCATTCACACCACAGCTCCTACTACTACTAGCGAGACAACAGCTCAATTCTCTACAATTGAGACAACAGCCCCATCCACTACTACACAAACAACAGCTCCACCTACCACTGTTGAAACAACAACGCTCCCAACTACTGTCAAAACCACAGCCTTAACCACTGGTAAGAAAAAACATCTTTCGGAGTTCCCTTAAAGAGATCCGAAATCTTTTATGTGTAAGTTTATTGTGAATGCAATGAGACAATAGATTTTGCATTACATCATATCTATCGCATTTTTAAATGGCACAGTTTTTACGTGTATTGTGTCAAAGATCACTACAGTTGTTTATATTGATCTATAAACCGTGGCTACAAAAATAATAAAAATCTCCGTCCATTGCTTTTACAACGCCGTAGAGACAACAGTGCTCTCCACTTCCACCAGGACAACAGCCCCTCCCACTACAATTGAAACTACAGCCATTCCAACTACTGTACTGTCAACTGCCCCTCGAACCACAACCGGGACAACAAACCCACTAACTACTGTCGAGTTTACGGCCCTGCCCTCTACTAAGGCAAAAACAACTCCACCAACTACCATTTATAAAACAGCCCCTTCCACTACTGTTCAGTCAACAGCACCCCTATCAAGTATTCGGACAACAGCACCTTCCAGCACCATCCAAACAACTCCCATAAGTTTTGACGCAACATTCCGTCCTGCAACTATGGAGACTACAGCACCATTATCTAGCATCTACACAACATCCCCTTCCACAACAGTTGAGACTACAGCGCCCTTAACTAGCACCCAGACAACATCCCCTTCCACAACAGTTGAGACTACAGCGCCCATAACCAGCACCCAGACAACATCCCCTTCCACAACAGTTGAGACTACAGCGCCCTTAACTAGCACCCAGACAACAGCCCCTTCCAAAACAGTTGAGACTACAGCGTCCATAACTAGCACCCAGACAACATCCCCTCCTACAACAGTTGAGACGACAGCGTCCATAACTAGCATCCAGACAACAGCCCCTCCCACAACAGTTGAGACTACAGCGCCCTTAAGTAGCACCCAGACAACAGCCCCTTCCACAACAGTTGAGAATACAGCACATGTAGCTAGCACCAAGACAACATCCCCTCCTACAACAGTTGAGACTACAGCGCCCATAACTAGCACCAAGACAACATCCCCTTCCACAACAGTTGAGACTACAGCGCCCATAACTAGCACCCAGACAACATCCCCTCCCACAAATGTGGAGACTACAGCACCCTTAACTAGCATCCAGACAACATCCCCTTCCACAACAGTTGAGACTACAGCGCCCATAACTATCACCCAGACAACATCCCCTTCCACAACAGTTGAGACTACAGCGCCCATAACTAGCACCCAGACAACATCACCTTCCACAACAGTTGAGACTACAGCGCCCATAATTAGCACCCAGACAAAATCCCCTCCCACAACAGTTGAGACTACAGCGTCCATAACTAGCATCCAGACAACACCCTCTTCTATAACTGTGGAGACTACAGCACCCTTAACTAGCATCCAGACAACATCCCCTTCCACAACAGTTGAGACTACAGCGCCCATAACTATCACCCAGACAACATCCTCTTCCACAACTGTGGAGACTACAGCGCCCTTAACTAGCACCCAGAGAACATCCCTTCCCACAAAAGTGGAGACTACAGCGCCCATAACTAGCACCCAGACAACATCCCCTTCCACAACAGTTGAGACTACAGCACCCTTAACTAGCACCCAGACAACATCCCCTTCCACAACAGTTGAGAATACAGCACATATAGCTAGCACCCAGACAACATCCCCTTCCACAACAGTTGAGACTACAGCGCCCATAACTAGCACCCAGACAACATCCCCTTCCACAACAGTTGAGACTACAGCGCCCATAATTAGCACCCAGACAAAATCCCCTCCCACAACAGTTGAGACTACAGCGTCCAAAACTAGCATCCAGACAACACCCTCTTCTATAACTGTGGAGACTACAGTGCCCATAACTAGCACCCAGACAACATCCCCTTCCACAACTGTGGAGACTACAGCACCCTTAACTAGCGTCCAGACAACAGCCCCTTTCCTAACTGTGGAGACTAAAGCACCCTTAACTAGCGTCCGGACAACATTCCCTTCCACAACTGTGGAGACCACAGCACCCTTAACTAGCATCCAGAAAACATTCGGTTCCACAACTGTGGAGACTAAAGCACCCTTAACTAGCGTCCAGACAACAGCGCCCTCCAGAACAGTTGCAACTACAGCACCTTTAACTAGCATCGAGTCAACACCC